ACGATCTCGAGAACGGACTATGAACCGGCCTAGGTGTAATATATAGAAAGATCTGTGATGCATTCATACTCTGACATTCATGCTCTGACATACATTTGAATTCATGTATTAAGGCATTCCTATCTCCCTGTGTATAAGTGTGTAAAATCTGCAGTATTACCAACATTTCAAAACATTTTCACGTTTAACATGTGTTAATTACATTCATTTGCTTTTTTATTCTTACATAATTAATCTTTCAGCTCAACTTTTAGCTTTTAGTCAAACATTGCAATAACAATACTTATTATAAAAATATTTAAGCTATTTTTAATCTCACAAATTTAGATTATTAAATGTTATAATTTTTATATATTTTTTTATTACAATCAAATAGTACGCACAGGTTTCACAAACATTCTCTAAATATATCTAATATTTTATACCAATAAAAAACCAATAAAAAATATCTCGACAAAAATGTTATTAAAATCATAATTTACGAAATATATTTTTCATCTTTTTATAAACAAACAAAAAAATTTATATTTTTAGTTTAAAATTAATATGGAAAAAAATTGTCCGAATATAGCTACAGTGGAATTTCGAAATAGGGCGTTATATATACGAGATTCTAGTCTGTTATAATTGACTGAGATTATTTTCACTTCCGTAAATTCAGGGCTGTAGCAATCGAGACTTGCACAAACACATTTTTACAAACATCTGAAAAAGATATTGTGTTTACAGATTTACGTCTTGCTGTACAACTGTTGGATACGTCTATTCACATTATTAGCATATATAAAAAGGATGATATTCGTTATTTCGAGATGCACTATTTCGAAGCTTTATTATACAAATTTATTAATAATTGTACATATATAGATAATTTTATTTTATTGTTTGTTGAATTTTATTAAAAAAAAACAAAGCGAAAATTAATTTTTTAATTATTTTTCAATCATTATTACTTTTATTACTATTATTTTCCTATATACACGAACAAAAATACAAGAGAAAAAATATGTCATTTTATATATAATTATTCTTCTTTAACGTTTATTCGAATGGACATTTTCATAAAAAATATTTTAGAAATCGATTATAAAACGTCTCGAATAATTATTTCCGAAACATGTCAAATATGTTTTACATAGATTGGCCACAGAGAAATTTAACATATAATATTCAACAAATAACATACATTTCGTTTATAATATAACGTTGAAATTTAGTACTTAAAAAGCGCAGAAAAGAAAACGATAAAGATTCGCTCTTTTTACAAAGAGAATTATAGGAACATGAAAAATAACAGAGTAGCAAAAATGGAAGGGGACAAATTGAGCGCGATCTTCACGGTCGCAACGTTAACTCGCCGGTCAGATGCCAGAGCGAGGCGCTATTATAATTTCGTGTCCGGCTTGGTCACCATCGTCGGAAGTCGAAGTGAGTTTGTCATTAGTTGAAACAATACATCGGACTGTTTGCGAAATATACGAGGAAAACCTCATTTAGTGCCCTCAATCGGTTATTTTATTTTATTTATTTTTTTTTGTTTGGTGACGCGGCATATCGCATTCTGTAAAACACATTACTGCTCTTATTATTCCAGTTCCGTGTGTTTTCGTCAAAATCATGAAATGGTACGTATAAGATGCATTTTCTAATTAACGTAATCGAATGTGTGCTGCAATTTCTTATCTTTGATTTTTATATGCTATCTTTTATATTTGATAAAATTATTTTTATTATTTAATTTTGTGTATACAATTGTGTATTAAATTTTATATATAATTTGTGCAATATATTGTGTACAACATTTTTATAAATACATATTTACGTGAGAAATCGTGTATTATCATAATTGTTTGATAAAGCATGCGTGAGTTGAGTAATATATATTTTCTTTGAAGCATATATTTTGAAACGATAAATCATAAGTCTTTGCCAGAACGTTAAACTTAACTGTTTTACAAAATATTTTCACAAAATACTCAGATTTAAAAAACTTAGATTTAACATTTTTCAGTAAAGAAATAATGCATATTTTCACACACTTTTTTAAATTAAAGAAGATATTTAACAAACATTTATTTTGGGAAACAAAATTGTAAATTATTTATTCCTAAATATCAAAAATTGTTTATAAAATTACTCTCCTTTTTATTTAGTTCTTTTCTCGATAAAATGTAAATAAGTTTAGTTCTTTTCTCGATAAAATGTAAATAACTGAATTAAAGTCATTTTTTCCATATTACTATGCTTTATTTAAATTTGCAATTTCATCTTGGTAATATTTTTTTACTTTTCAATCTTCAAACATATTATTTATTCAAAAATTATATATTTAAAAATGAAAATGTTTTAATAAATTAAGTTTTATTGATATCAAACAGCATAATTATTTAAGGAATTTACAATTCTTAATACGTGCTTAATACTGTATATAATGATATAATCACAACTATCTATTTTAGTGTCGAGGTCTCTACCTGTAATTTGTATCTCATCTCTAAGACCATATAGTCTATAATTAAAAACAATTTAAATGACTGCACCTCAAGTATATACATTTTTTTAAATCGCAATACTGTTGTTTTTTATATATATATATAATAATAAATCGATCACCTCTTTCTTTTCCTCATTCTTTTTCTCTCTTTTTCTTCTTCTCTGTTTAAATGTGTGTATATAAGTCCATATAGACATCCCCTTTTATTGATAAAAGAGGATTTAGAATATGGATAATAGTATATATAATGTAATATAATAAAATATTACAATTGCAAAAACATATATATATATATATATATATATATATGTTTTTGCAATTGTACATGTATATATATATATACACACACACACACACACACACACACATCTACGTACATTATATATGAATGTATAACGCATACATATATAAATGTATATGTAAAGTTATATGTGTATATAAATATATATATATATATATATATATATATATATAGATGTATGTATATATGTACAGTATATCTATTGGTATATTCATTTTTATTAAACATACTTCAAATAAAAATTATTCAGATTAATGACATCTTTAGAAATTTAACCAGAGCTTTATTTAAAATATAATTATCTTTTCTCCTTTCGAAATAACTCTTTATTCGAAAATTCGTATCAATATTTTCAATAGTTTCTTAATTAAAAATTGTTATATAATGAAATTAATAAAACATCTTTTATGTATTTATAGAGATATGTATATATATATATATATATATATATATATATATATATTCATGTACTTCGAAAGGTGAGCCAATAATAATATTTATATTTTCTCTTTTGTTTATTTATTTAGATTTAGCAATTACTAAAAAATTATTTATTGAAATATTCTGTTATTGTTATACGGATATCCGCAACGTTAGATTGTTAGTTTGAATGGAATAAGAAAATGTAAGAAAAATTGAAAGAAGATGGAAAAGTTCTCTGGCGCAGAGGAAGATGTTGCTCGGTGTATTATATACTGATTGTGAGTGGGGTCGTTTAAAAATAGACGTTTAAACTTAAATTATACCCTCTAGCAAAGGGAGTCGCGAGCGAGCGGTCAAAATTTTATAAGCGCTGTATGCTTCGATATAACTGAAAGATATAACAAGAATCATACAAAAACAGTATAGATAAAATCATAACAAAAAAAGATAGATTTCCTTCTTTTGTCAAATATGACAGACACAAATAATAAACTATCTTTAGCTTTAGAAATGATTTTTCTAAATTATTCTAAATTATTTTGTTTAAATTACTTTGTTTAATTCTGTATATATGCAAGTAAAATATTTTTACATTTTAGCTTATTGCAAAAGTATAAAAAATTCCTTTATTCTCTAAAAATAAAATTTCTTTATTCTCTAAAAATAACGAAATACAGAAGCATGTGCTGTGTCACGTGCGATTAATTCACTCCAACTTACGAGATTAATAGATACCCGGTAAAAAATTTATACATAAATGTAAAGATATGTATAATTATATGTAAAATGTATTCACATATACATGTGTTTTTTTTTGCAATCTCTATCCGTGTGTACAGGGAAAAATAAAAATAACTGAAACAGAATTAGAAAAATAATTTTCGCATCATTTTTTTTAGAGAAGAAATAAAATTTGAACTGAAAAAAAATTACATATAAATTTATATATGATTACATATGAGCAATATTATTCACATATAATCTTTCAGTTATTTTTTCAATTATTTTTATTTCTTATAAACGTAATTACATATATTTGATTATATGTGAACTTTTTTCCTGGATGCTTGTAATTGTAAGCTTCTTTAATATATGTATTAAAAAAGCTTAGATGTTGCATATTATGATTAACACTCTAAAACAAGTGAACAATTCCAACAATTAATCCAAATAAAAATTAATAATTCTTTGGAAGTGAATTACAAACTTATATCGAGAATATTATAATTACATAAAGAATATTATAAAAAACTTAATGTAGAGAATAAAAAAAAATATATAATCGTTGCATGGGCCCATGATTCGTAGGCGGGCTATACGAACATAGAATCCCTCACGAATCATGCTCCTTTCCACGAACTATGAAAGGTAATGTCGCATAATGTATTTCCTGCCATGCGGAACTTTGACGTATGTATACAGGGTGTTTCGGTAAAGGGCAATCTCTCGTGGTTATGTGGAGCAAGTAAAAATAACACCATAAGTTCCTATACAATTTTTTCCACAACGCATCTTTTAGCATCATTATTTTACCATCATTTATTTTCTTTTTAATATCAAGAAATATATTACGCTAATTTTAAAGATTTTCAATGAACATAAAAATAATTATCAAAATCTACAGAGTTATATAAAAATTATTAAAGAGAAGATTTCTTAAATTTTAACTTTAAAAATAAATATCTCGATAGAGATGCATTGTAGAAAAAAATTTTATGGGAACTTGTAAGATTATTTTTTACCTACCCTACACACATGCCCGAGAGAGATTGCCCATCATTACCGAAACACCCTGTACATGCTCGCGACATCGCGCGCGATACGATAAAGGAGCGTAAAAAAGATCTATATAGAAGATAATAACCAATAATAAACGCGAAGGAGGACGGCATGCTGACGTGAGAGAGCGTGGACGCGAAAAAGGTGAGGGGGAGACTTACCTAGGCGAAAAAGGAGAGAGAGAGGGAGAGAGAAAGAGAGACACATTCAAACACGCGCGCGCACACACACGCACTGGGAGAAATGTCATCGATCGCCGCGCCCTGCGCGCTATCTACCGTCGATTTCGCGCACACTCGATTCATGTGCGGTGCGAAATCGAAAAATGGCCGTCCCACTGGCATTTGACGAGAACTTTTGCGGCGGCCGTGAATATCCGGCCCGAGCCGTGACGAACGAGTGATCAGCTGCGTGAACAAGCTCTGAGATCTTCTGTCACGCGAACGGAAAGACGAGAAACGGAAGGTGGGAGGATGACGGCGACAGAATTGTGAAGGGAAATTGTGCGCGAAAGCAGTCCTGGCGAGAATACGTCGGTGTAACATCGCGCTGTAAGCGGTGTCTCTAGCAGACGACATTGTTAGTAAAAAGAAAATAAAAAAAATAAAAAAAATAAGATACTCTTATTATATCTTTGGATCGGTCAGTCGGTCGGTCGGTCGGTTAAAGGAGAGAGAGAGAGAGAGAAAGAAAGAGTGGTTATATGCGCGGGCGGACAAAATGCGCATTATTGTATAATAATTTGCAAAAGTGCGGAGATTAATCTTGTCGTAATTAAAGGGGCCGTTTTTTACATCGTACGTAATTTGACGAGTCGATCGACGTGTGTCGACTCGTCGGCATCGCCGATCGAGGAGAAAAATGCGAAAGAAAAAATCGAGAATCCGTGCGGGGACATTCAATTAATTGTCGTGATGTTCGTTAATCATCGACGAATCGTTGATCGACAATCGAGGAGATGGCAATCGAGTGATCGCGATCGAATGATCGCTAGATATGGAAGTTCGCTTTGGAACTGAATAACAAGGGACCAGCAACACCTCTCGCTCGCACGCAATCATGGCTGCCTAGCACAGGGCGCGTATTGAGCAATTTTATACGAAACGTCGCTAGAAAATTATAAACTTGTCACTCGAGATGTCTTTTGACAGCTCGCCCGGGTCATCGACGCGTGGATCCAACGTATTCGATAATTATCCGCATCACGTGTGTACGTGTACATATATTTTTATAATTTGTTATTTTTGCATTTTTCAGGCCTACAAATTATCTAGAGGATTTGGTGTTGAGGAATGTAGGCGACGAAAGCACGGATCAAAATAATAATATAACTATGACGAGCGAGGATTTGTTACAGCCCGGCCATGTGGTCAAAGAACGTTGGAAAGTTGTAAGTTTCGACTTGTCGAAGACTCTTAACATCGTAACGTTTTTCGATTTTACACAAGATAGATTGACAATATTTTATTTCAAAAACTAAATATTTAAGAAGATATCTTTTATATCAATATATATATATATTGTGTTTTGTTTAGAAATACAAGCACAAGCAATATATATTAAGAAATATATATATATATATATCTTAAACGTAGGTGAGAAAAATAGGTGGCGGTGGATTTGGCGAAATTTATGAAGGTCTTGATTTAATGACAAAGGAACAAGTCGCTCTTAAAGTTGAATCTGCACGGCAGCCCAAACAAGTCTTAAAGATGGAAGTAGCTGTCCTAAAGAAATTACAGGGTTGGTATTAAATTATTGTTTATTAATTGAAATTTTTGTGTAAATTTAAAATGTTTATTCTCTATTTTTTAAATTATTACTTGAAACTATTTTAGGTAAAGATCATGTATGTCGTTTTATTGGCTGTGGACGTAATGATCGATTTAATTATGTTGTGATGCAATTACAAGGAAAGAATTTAGCAGAATTGCGTAGGGCGCAACCAAGAGGTGCTTTTTCGCTTTCTACTACATTACGTCTTGGTCTTCAAATTTTGAAAGCTATAGAAAGCATTCATCAAGTGGGATTTCTGCATAGAGATATTAAACCTGTATGTGTTTACATATGCACACATGAAAATATATCGTGTTGTTTTAATTGGTGTATTTGAACAGTGAAGAAATTATTGATTTTATTCATTTCATAATCTTGTGAAAGGATAAAATATTGTATATTGTGCAAACATTACATAAGATTTATGCGTATTAGATAATTTGTATCTTCTGTGAATTACATATTGAATGATTATAACTTTTTTAAATATAATAATTGTTATAATTTGAACAAAAGGTGATGATACTTTGTTTATAGTCAAATTTTTCAATCGGCCGTCATCCTTACAACTCCAGGCTGGTATATATGTTAGATTTTGGTCTAGCTCGACAATTTACAACTGGCACAGGAGAAGTAAGACCGCCTCGTGCTGCTGCAGGATTTAGAGGAACCGTCCGATATGCATCAGTTAATGCACATAAAAATAAAGAAATGGGTCGACATGATGATCTGTGGTCATTATTTTATATGCTAGTCGAATTTGTTAATGGACAATTGCCATGGCGAAAAATAAAAGATAAAGAGCAAGTAAGTCAGAGAAATTTCTACATAATTACCAGATAAAAACAATTTTATATATAATTAGAAGTTCAATAAAGTGTAACATTTTTTTTCTATAGGTGGGTCTCATGAAAGAGAAGTACGATCATCGTCTACTTCTAAAACATCTTCCATCTGATCTACGGGTTTTTTTAGAACATATTCAGGTATATATGATTGAAAAATATTCCGCACACATACACATATACAATGTTAGAATAATTAATTTTTTTCCGCACTTTTTGTCACAAATCTTTAGATTTTTTTTATATGATAAATTTTATTTTTATAATAATGAAATATTTATAAATATTTTATATAGAATTTGGAGTATGCAGATAAACCAGATTATGGTATGTTAGCTGGTCTATTTGAACGATGTATGAAACGTAGAGGTGTAAAGCCAAATGATCCTTATGATTGGGAAAGGCCATTAATAGCCAATGAAGGTTTATCAACTACTAGATCATTACCTACAGTGACTGTGCCACCTGCACTTACTACAGCTACTACTATCAATCAACCTCCAATTACAAATGTGGACACAAACAACCAAGAGAACGTAGAGCCAGATAACAGGAAGGAGTTGGATGTAAAAAATATAAAAAACTTATATCTTGTCAAACCCATATTAGATTGGTGCAAAACGTTTGTGAATTTTCAAAAATTCTGATTTAAACAAGTTTTTTTGTTTTCTATTTGGAGAAATGAGATGGCATTATCAATATGAAACATAATATATATTTGTTACTTATATTCGTAATATTTTAATATATTGTTTTTTATTTATATGTTATTAGTTTTGTAAAGTTTTTTTTTTCTTTTTTGTTCTTAAAGGTAAAAATAAAGGAACCCTTGTTGGATAAAAATAATGGAGGAACTATCATTATTGAAAAATTGAATGTAATTCATCAAAAATTGGCTGAAAGACTTTATTTGTTCAACAAAAAAGGAATACTTCTGTATAATAACGCTCGGCCACATATAGCTTTAATGACCATCCATTATATAGCTGCAATGAAAATTATAAACATTGGAAACTCAAATTTATTTATTGTATTTATTTACCAGATTTTATATCTATTGACTAATATTTATTTAAATATTTCGATTCGTTTTTGAAAAAAATTCACAAACTCAAGTTATTAAAAACATCATTAAGGAATTATAAATTCTAAAGTTTTACATTATTCTACACAAGAGTTTTTTGTATGCCGAGAGAAATATATTGAAAGTAACTGTGATTATTTTGATTAATAAAAATTAATTTTAAATCTTCATTATTTTTTTTTTTTTTTTTTTTAATGATAAATATGCAAATCTCTTGCACCAACCTAATATATTTTAAGTTTTGTTGTAAAGTTATACTGTTTATATAACATAGTTATATAATATTTTTAAAGATTTTGAATCTCTTAAACTTATCTGTCTCATATATATATATATATATATATATATATATATATATATATATATGTATATGTATATATATGTATATATATATATATAAATTTCAATTTTAAATATATATATTTATTATAACACATTTGTATATAACAGGCACAATTGGATTATGAAAGTATATATAGAAGAAATAGGCAACGTGGTATAGAAGGTTCTCCAGTGCCATTTGCAGCAGCTATCAGCAATCATGGTAGAGATAAAAATTGCAATGCCACGATACCAACGACCGATAATACACATCAACAAGTCGCACAGCAGACTATGCCACCTCTACCAACCCAAGGTTTATATATAACTTATTTATATGTGCAATAATTAATGCGATATCTATCATCATATAATAATTGTCACTTGTTACTTCTCAGGATCTCCCAAAAAACGACGCGCCGTATCGATGGCAGTAGAATCTCAAGTTCCTGCGCCAATAGAGAAACAGGTAGATAACGAAGGAGATGCATTGATGGCTTCCGCGCGTTCCGCATCTGATGTTCCTCGACTTAAAACTGTGACAAATGCAACAGCACCGCTTAGGAAATCGGCGAGTGGTGCTACATTGCCTGCCACGCTTGCACGTTTGCGTATCGCTACTCCTGAAGGAACGTCCGGTGAATTACCGAGTCCTCGTATACAGACAGAAGTTGACGCTTCCTATTGCTCTTATGATGTAACTAATACTAAATACGTTGGAAATCAGAGTCCGGTAAGTATATCCTATAATTATCATTCAACATAATACATTCATGCTAATAATGCATATTTTTCCAATTTAGATATATATATATATATTTGAATGTTTTTAGGTAACCGAACAAAGGGAACCTCTTAGAAGAGAACCCAGAAGAAGAGCGGAGAACCGACAACAAATGAGAGCCGGGCGTTCGGCAGTACGAGATTGCTCTATTACACAATTTGCACAAATAGATGACGACAATGTATCCGCCCTGCAGCAAGTGACCAAAGGTGGTGGAGGTTTGACTCTGGCTTCGCAATGGAAATCGCAATTTGACGATTCTGAAGAGACTGACAATGAATGGAAAGGTGAAAACTTACAAAGTCCTGAACATAAAGGAATAATAAACACCCCGTCCGTACCGCCACAGGTAAAAAACTCCTTATTTATTATAATAGAAGGATTAGTAAACGCAAACAGAAGCGTATTCTGTCCTATGAAAATGCTGAAACAAGTAAAGTTTCAACCAGTCAATAAGTAATTTAACATGCAGTCCACAGATATCGTCGAAAATGTGCAACAATTGGATATAAAACCTGTCGCGGCTCAATCAAATACCTCGAACGTGTGTCAACAAACTTTGATTCCTACAGCATTATCCAAAATAAGCGAAGATTCTCCGAAACCAGCGGTACCGCATAGATGTTTAAACATTGCGGGTATTGAAAAATATCCAGAGCTCCAAGGGGCACTCCCGCGAGCTTGGAGCGTTCCAGCTTTAGCGCCGCATGTTCGGGCTTATCTTGAAGCTCCATTGGTTTGTGTCATATTTTACATGATACATAATTATGACAGTTTTTACGTAGATATATTTTAATACATAGATATATTTCGATGTGTTAATAGGTTCAACAAGCGGCATTTGACGATTTGTTATATGAAGTTGATGTTATGAGGAATATCGCTACCCGATATGATGAACCGAAGCAGACTGCACCAGTTAGAAGAACTAGTCTACCAGCGGTAGCTTTTTCTCTTTCTGATACAATGTTCAACGCTCATAAAGGGGAAGAAGAGGAAGAAGCAGTAGCAGGAAGATTAGAAATCAGAGTCGTAGATGCAACTGGCGGTGCTACAATTGTGCAAACCAGTGCCGATAGAGAACCTTTACAAAGTATGTATAACCAGTTCTTTTTTATTACCAATTTTTTTATTGTCTTTTATCGATCGATGAATCAGCATGTTTATGTGTGTAATGTCACTTTGCACTTATATATGTGCTTTATCTGAATTTCTAGAGAAATTAGCGAACGGTATGGCAGGTAGCCCGGCTAGTCCTAATCCGGGACCGGAAGAACCATCGATATATTACGACGCTACCGAGAATCGACCAACTGCAAACGCCAGTTTGCAAAAAGAATCAACTAGCGTCACTACTGCCTCGACCACTGTACAAAATGCAGTGCCGTTTCGTGATAATAAGGACAATAAAGAGAAGGAAACATCTAATAGGACATATATCGCTCACAGTAAAATACCGATTCCCGTTAAGAGTCCAAGATGCTCGTTATCTGAATCAACACCCGAAATTAATATTCCGAATATCAAGGCAGTAACTGGAAGTGACATAGAAAAACTACCGGTGCCTATAACTGCAACTAAGGAAAAAGAAAATAGTTAGTAAAATTGTTATGACATGACAGATTTATTAGAAACAAATTCTAAAATGATATGATATTTATAATCAATATGATATTTATAATTGTATTTATGATTGTCTATGATATTTTGTAGATTCTGATAAAAATTGGCATATATATCATTTTTAAAAGTCATTTTGAAGAGCATATAGTAAGCGATTTACTAGATATTTATTGAAAAAGCAATATTTCAAATGCTTTAATTTATTATCAGTAGACGTTTTATTTTTGAAAATTTTGAAGATTATTTCTATTTTAATAACTATGATTGTTATCTATGATTGTTATCTTTAAAAGAAAGTTTTTGTGAAATATTAATATGTATATATCTCTTTACAAAGAGAATATCTAAAAGATTGTTTTATATATTTATTTATTTATTTATTTATATGTTCTAAGATACAATCTTATCGGGACAAAATAATCATGGCAGAAAATAATTTTTCAAATGCTATATTTTCTGCAATATTTCAAAAAACTTATTTTATATCAGTTATATTTCCCAATTTTTTCATATTATAATATTTTTTTTTCAAAACAAGAATATTAATCTCTTGTAATTGTACAACATAATATGTAACAATACTACACAAATATTATGGGAATAAAACATATACGAATTGTAATATCCTAAAAAAAGATTTAAGAATTTATCTATAATTTAAAGAATTCATCTATAATATAAAATATTTTTGAATAATAAAATGAGGTCACAGTTTTTATTGAAAATTGATAATTTATATTTAAAAAAAAAGATGAGACGATTATGAGAAGATTATCCTTATATATGTGAAATATTAAATAATATGTATAGTTTTTTGCGCTATACTAATGTTTGCAAATTTTAGTCAAAGGTAAATCATCATATGTGCCAGCATATTTCCATGACATGCCATTATCTAACACTAGACCAATCATATCATCTTTAACTTCAGCCAGTTCTGCCGAAGATGAAAATTTAACCGGATGTACACCCGCTCTACGCCGTCGAAGACAAAGCGAAAAGTACGTGACAGACGCTAGTCAGCTGAATCTGCAGTTCCAAAGACCACAACACAGAACTAGACCACAATCTGAAGTATTGCCAAGACTTTCTCCCAGAGGAGTACCTTCGCATCTTCTACGAGAGTCAGATAAAAAGTCCGAGGAAAGCAGTGAAAGTGATTCTAACAGCAGCGGACCACCAAAATCCGCTCGTCAACCACCACCACCGCCTACATCATTGCCACCTCATATAGCAGAAAATAATGCTAGGTATGATTGTTACAAATATGTATCTCTTATTTGTATAATCCATATAACAGGGTGTCTACTCCCTGGAAAAATATGAAAATCCTAGAAATTTTAGGAATTTCTTTTATCTGTGAAAAAAATCAGAAAATTCTTATAAAATTTTATTGAAACTTAGAGAATTTTTAAAAAAATTTTCTCTTTAATAATTTTACTTTTATATTGCTCTTACATTGCAGTCGATAATCCACCAATAAATCAAGTTATGAATTATGTATTTAAAACATATTATCAATATATATCTCTTTATATTTCAACACATTAACAAAATATTGAATATATATATATATATATATATATATATATATATATATATATAAAATTTTCAATCATAAAAAAATGAAAATATTATGCAAACATGAAAGATTTATCTTAACGAAAGTTATTCCATTTTTTTCAATACATTTACAAATTTAGCACTTGAAAGTTAGGTGGCTCTGTGTCTTTCCTTTGTAGGAGAAAAAAACATTAGAAAACGAATACAATAAAAAAAACTTACTTTACAAAGTTGCACCAAAAAATCTTGAAAATATATTTTTTTTTTAATTTTAAAAAATAAATAAATATATAAATAATAAAAATATCTGGAGGATCAGAAAATTTTCAGGAAATATTTTTACAAGATTTGAATATAAATAGACATATAGACACCCTGATATAAGTAAAAGTTTAGCATATATTATTTCTTCCGTTTGACGCATTAAATTCCACATTCTAAGAATAAAATGATATATATAATCTTCTTTTTCTATCTATAGATACAAATTTTTTGTAATTATAGATGCCGCCGTTATTGGCCCATACCAGATCCAACAGTTGCTAGCAGAGAATCGTGAGATTTGATATTTAAAATGACAAATAGTCTCAGTTTGTGTTAGGATTGAGGAGGTTTTACTGCTCAACCAACTAAGAATGTGATATCATTTGGGGCAACGGAAATGCGCAATCTTTCTCTGATTAAATCACCGGGTACATAAAAATTTTTGCAAAAATGCATATCTGCATATCTACAAAGATAAAGAACATTAGCTATTCATTTAACACGTGAAAATGTAACTGTCTGTGAATGCGTATTAATTAATAATGCCGCTTTAATTAACTACTGAAGTTCTTGAGCGACTTTTTCAAATAAGAAAATCTTTCTATATATATTATAGATTTTGGAACACGCGCGCTCAATAAGTTTCAGTAAATTAAATAAAAGTATATGTGAGATTGCTTATAATGTACAAATAGTACAACAATCTAGTGATTTAAATAGTCACTTTTTAAAGACTATACTCTTTCTTTACTTATACACTTGCCGCAATTTATGTTACAGTATCAACATATCCATCCAATATCTTTAAATTTATATGATATTATGTATTTCCGTAATGCGTGCGTGCGTGCATGCGTGCGTGCGTGCGTGCGTGCGTGTGTGTGTGTGTGGATGTGGATGGGTGCGCGCGCTTGCGTGAATGTGTGTGTGTATGTATGTGTGTGTTTGAATTTTGCATAATTCTATTCACGCTTATTGTACATACATATTACCAAAATTCGATGCTTTTAACTGAATTTCCTTTGCACAGAAATATGTCGAATGCACTTATATCTACATAATTCTTATCAATACTAAAATTTTCTAGACAAGTTTTATAAAATTTATAATTTTATTCTAATGTGAGAGATAGTCATAAAAAATAATATAACATTTTTGTTATAAATGTTATAATACAGTTATTATAACAACTATATTATACATTAAAACATATTTTATTTGTTAATAATATGAATAATTTATCTCAAGAAAGAATGAGTGATAATGATAATTTCATTAAAATTATACTCACATACATACACAATACACACATACAAATGATTCATGTGTTTTAAATCATTGGTAATTTAGAATTGCTATTTTGCAATAAGCAAAAAAATCACGTAAATATGTCACACATTTTACAAATAATATAAAAAAGCATACGAATAATAGATATTATTTAACGTCGCAAAAGAAAAAAGTTTATTGTATGAAAAAGACACACAGCTCTAGAATAATTAAATTCGGGCCAGATATACTAGTCCCCTTAATAATCCATTATTAAGGACAAAATGAAATTTTCACATATATAGGATGCAGGATCTTCCATTAAAATTTTTTTGAAGATTTTGTTATTAAATTTAAAATCAAAATTGGATATTTAAAATTAAATAAAAAATGCAGTTTTGTTATCTACTTAGTTTTTTCTTTGAAATTTAATTAAAAATTTTTTCTTTTTTTTTCAATTGTTTACAACTTAAATAATTATTGACTCAAAATTTCAAGAAAAAAATGACTCCAAATTAGTTAAAAAATCTTTAGTTAAGATCTTTTAAAAAAAAAAAGATCTTTTAAAAAAAAAAAGATCTTTTAAAAAAAAAAGATCTTTTAGTTAAAAAATCTTTCATTAAAAGAACTTCCGCTTTTGGGATATCCTGTAAATAAATATGTGTGTGTATATGTGTGCACATATACGCATTTGATGTATGTACATATATGTATGTATATACATATATACTATCTCAGTTTTGTTTTACTATTTTTTATTCATGGATTTTAAGCATTGCATTTCCCTTCTATGAATAACTAAAACATTACAGAATTTTTTTACAATCTTCAAAAAAATAAATATATGATCGTCTTTACTATTCAAAAATATAATTTGTATAATTTTATTTAAAGATTAGAAATACATAAAATTATTATTATATAAATTGCACATATTTATATAAGTACATACAAATTTATATAAGTATGTGTATATATATGTATATATATATATATATATATATATATAAAATCTTGCGTGTATTTATGTATAACTAATATAATCTTAGGTCCGATTCCAATCGGGCCTTAAATATTTTCAATCATTAAATTAAATAAAATTGTACTGAATGATTACATTTTTTATTTGAGTACAGAAATCTTACATGTTTATATTCCTGAAGTAAATTTGCAACAAAAATTCTTTGATTTTTTAGTTATTTAGCTTCAAAATAAAAAATCATTATAAAATTTTACGAAAATATATGTATTTTCTAATATATCTTGTTAAAAAATCTAAAAATGAAGAGATATAGAAAATTTTTGAAATATTGCACATATGAGCACACATATACATGTAGACAAAAATTGAGAAAGGATGTATGTGCGTGTTAAGAACATTTTTAATAGGAACTTTCAAATAATGTTTGTACCACACAACGTACCAAACACAAGTTCCTTCAGCAGCGTATAGTATCATACATGCGTATACGTGCATGTGTATATTCATACGCGCACACGTATGTATGTATACATATATATGTATGTATGTGTGTGTGTATATATATTTATATTTATATTACATATATAATATGTGTATATGTATGCATATACATTTCAAGAAGGAATAGAATACCACAGTAATGTATAAAGAAAAAATAATCAAGCAAGACGTAATCGTGGCAAACATTTAAACATTTCTTGCACATAATACAACAAAAGATTGAGATCTAAGCTTTGTGAGTTTTCTAATATAAATGAATCTTGAGTGAAGTCTAGTGATGCATAAAACTAGTCAAAGTAGAATAATCTATTATGCGCTATTGTTAAATTAATTTTAAATATAAAGTTATATATATATATATATATATATATATATATATAACTTTGTATAAAATAGGAAGATTATTCTGTGCAATGATTAATATAAGATCAAGTATATAAAATGTATTCTGGTGTTGGCAAAAAGAAATGAACATTAGTGTAATTTCTTATATAAAATACGATGTCGATTATTTTCTTAGTGAATAACGAAACAACAAGTAATAATTTTCCTTGAAATTTTTATCGAGGAAAAATTGTATCCAGGGTTCACGAAAAATAACTATGCGACCACTTTTATCGCCAATACTGTGAACACTTTAAATAATAATAAATTTTTAATCGTTTTGTTCGGAGGAACATAACGCGCAACAAAAGAGATTGTATTAATAGGATCTTTATCATCGACTTATCGCTTATTAATCATGCAGCAATATCTTCGTGTAAATGTATACGAAGTGCGGATACACGACGTAGATTGAATAGAGATAAAAGGATCAAAATTGGTGAATTTTGCGATATTATTAATGATAGTATTATTATATACAAAGTCAAATATAAAACAAAGTGTATCTTATTCATGCAAATATAACATAGACTTATGATTGTAAAATATTATTCAATATGCATGTATAATTGAATTCAAAGTTTTCGCTTTTTTTTTTAATGAAAAAAAAGAGAAAAAGCACATATAGTATCGTCTTTTCAAATTTATGTAAATAAATAGCATGTATGCATATATATGTAGATATAGTTTATGATAAATGCATATATACATATATGCATATAGATGCGTATATACTGTATTTTATGGATATTCAAATATAAATATACAATAATTGAATGCGCGCAGAAAATTACGGTAAATGTTTAACAAATTTGAAAGATTAACTCATTCAAGTCCATAGTTTTTCTACAATAATTCTGACTTAGTTTTTCTTACCTCGAGTTTTTCACATGCGTTATAATTTAAGGTAAATTTAAGGTAAAATATTTTGATATATAAAAAGTTATCAATATCTTTTAAGTATTTGGTATTAAAAAATAAATATGGCAGGAATTACTATCTTTTTATGTAATAGCAAACAAACTTTGCAGTAATTAAACTTGTAACTGGACTTTAATGGGTTAATTCATGAAATTGACATGAAAGCAAATATAATCGATATAAAGACAGATTATAGTATACATCAGGATACCAAAATACTAGAAAGTATTTGAAAGGTATATACTTTAAAACCAACTTTTAATGAAAATTATACGAGCTAACTTATTGCAATAGAGTTCATTTTTCATTATTAAATATATTCATTTTTCACTATTAAATATATTGTGATCAAGCGTTATAATTTTAAAATTTTGCTGAGAGGTAAAGTCTATTTGAAATTAATTAACTAAATCTATGTTGTGCATCTATATTATGTTTTCATGAATCTTAAATATATATAATAAAAATTTATAATAAAACTTTATTTTTTTCCGTTTATCTATAATTTAAAAATTCTCATTCTTAAAGTTGTCTTTTAGTTTTTAAAATCAAATTGAATTGATTAAATTGAGAAAAATTTATATATTTTTTCAGATATTCCTCAGATTATATTTTTTCAGATACTCCTCATATTTCCTGGTGTATGTATATGAATTTTCAGAAAAAGTAATAATATGGCAGTGTTCTTAATCGAAATCAACAAAATTCAGAATATCATTCTATTATATTTTCACATTTCTATTTATTTATTTTTCCAATATTATCCTCTCTCGCTTCTTTTTTTCTTTTCTCTCTCTCTCTCTCTCTCTCTCTCTTTTACAACATTTTATATAAAATTATTCACTTGTATATTTTATGATACTTGAATTCGAATTTTGACCATACAAATATCGCTGTACGTGTATGAGCACGTCTACTTTCTATCTCTGACAGATGGAAAAGTACGATTCCATCCATAATTTTGTATTTTATAACATATGCATTTTGAAATAGAAAACACAATGTCATTTCTATATTTACAGTGTCATGTATTTACAAATCGTTATAATGAAACCTTGAGAAAAGCGATTATTTTTCTGTTATATATATTTGCATGTGTATATATATATATATATATATATATATATATATATATATATATATATAACAGATCTTTTACAATAAATTTAATATATATTATTGTGTGGCTGCTTTAAGAGTGAGTCACGTAGTTAATAAATATAGCAAAAGTTGGCTGTAACGAACACCGCTAGAAAATGAAATATTGTATCGCCATATAAATGAAATTCAATATAGCTGAAGCTTCAGCAAAATTTGGATTTAAAATTTTTTCTTTCTGTACTCACTCTATTCCTCTTTAAAAATGCATATTTTGAATTGTACATTTTATATCAGTAATAATATCAAAAGAAATATACAATATTCAACATATATAATATACAAAATATGTAGTTCTTCTTAATTATATAATTTTATAAACATGAAGTTAATCGATCTGATTAATTTTAAAGCAATAACTAATAGTTTTAAACAATTTGATTATAGAAAGTTGAATTAACAAAAAGCTAGTTGTATTTTGCATGAATGTAATACTCCATAGGTAAATAGAGAAAAACAAATGAAGAAAAATGAAGTATGAAAATTATTATATATACATGTTCTTCTCGGCAAAATAAAATCTATTTTAATGCAATTAATTTTCATAGATAATTTTACAGCAAAGCTGTTTGCAATGCTTTTTTATCTATATTTTGCTTTACATTTTTATTGTTTAAAATCTTTTTAACATTACTAAATCATTTGGGTATCTCAATCTCTGGAAATCAATCTCTTTTTAACATTATTAAATCACTTTGGTATCCTTTATAGTTTTAGTAAACAAGATGTCTACTCAAATCTTGTATAAAAATTCTTTAATTTTCCAGGTATTTATGTTCAAAATTCTAGATAAAGAGAACATTTAAAATATTTTTTGTTGCAACTTTTAAAATTTTTTTTTGGTATGCATTTTCCACATTTTTTCACCATACAGAAGAAAAATAGAAAGCTTTCTTGAATTTTAAATGTGTAAATGTATTGAAAAAAATAAGAATTTTTCATTTGCATAAAATTATTTTTTTTATAATTAAAACCTATATAATAAAAAATATTATATTATATTCAATGTTATTCTCAGTATTATATATTCAATATTTTTTAAGACATTGAATATATAAACTGAGATACTATAATTGAAATAACTGAAATAAATAAACATTTGTAATATATGTTAAACATATAATTCATTTGGCTTGACAATTGTTTACAATGTGAAAACAAAATTAAAAATTTTTCAAAAAATTTCTTAAATCCCATAAAAATTCCAGAAAATTCCTTAATTTTCCTAGGGAATAGATATCCTGGTAAATAATCCTGGTAAATATATATTTGATAAATATTTCTATTCTAAAATCTATTACACATAATTTTGCTTAAGATATGTAGGAGAATATATGGACCTAGGATTATGTCTTTCTCAAAGTGGTAAAGAATTAAAGTAATGTTTGCAATACGTTGTTTTTATTTGTTATTAAAGTTTTTCGAGGTGTATTAGAGTTTTATAATAATCAATAGTGATATCTTTGCGCATGTATTTCATGTAATAGCTACCATTTCTCTAATTTATACATAAAGTGCTTGGTATCTTTTGAGAATACAAGAAATCAGAGTATCGACATCTAGACTATAATATCACAATAATGAACTGCAATTATGTCAATATTATTTCAGCTTTACAATAGCAGCAATCATAGAAAATACAGAGATACTAATTAGTTTTAACTGTTATTAAGTTATTGGAATATATTCTTGGACTTACCTATGAACGAAAATATAAAAAATTGTTCCTTATTACTAATGTGCTCGTGGGAAGTGAGTGCCTTATGGTATAAATCACACGAGCATATTCTTGGCATACAAGCACAATATTTTTTTTTTTTTTTTTGGTTAATTTTATCATGGTATTTGCACCATCCAACTTAGATCAGCTAAAGCTCAAGTAGTTTTCTACAATAATGACACAGTTTTGAACAAAGTTTGCCCAATACGCTCATTTTACAATTGATCCCAATACTATTATCAGTATCAAAGATTCGTCGCAATACTAACAAATAAGATATTTTAAAAGAGTATTAGCGAACTCCACTTTTCGAATGCGCTATGAGCCACTGTAACGTAATATCAATATTGTCTTTTTCTTTACACGAAATACTGTAGCAACAAATCTCGCGATCTTGAATCGCAGAAAGATTCCTAAAACATATGTATTGTCACATATATATCCATAAATGTATTTGCAAAATATCAATGCGCAACTCACATTCGTTCTATGAGTCCATTCTCATCCAATGCATGAGGTAAATCCCTTTTATTGCCCAACACCAATACTGGTATTCCAGACAATTGTGGTTTATCCAATAAATTGTGCAATTCATTACGACTTGCCTCGATTTTCTCTGAATCTGCTGCATCCACCATATAAACTATGGCATTTACTCCTCTGCAATATCTTTCCCACATAGATCTAAACCTTGGTTGACCACCAATGTCCCACACTTTTATAGTGACATTGCCTTTGGTTATTTTACGCATATTAAAGCCTACAGTCGGTATCATATCTTCGCTAAATTGCCCCGACTAAATATACAAAAGAGAATAATTACCTTAAATTTGTTTTCTTAATTCAAGAACAATAACATAGTTATTATTAATTTTAATTATATATATAACATAATGATTATAATAATTATTATACGTTAATATAATTTTGGTCGAGCTATTAGGATTGTATCGCTAGGTATATTCAAATTTTGTAAGTTAAATTATTTTTTAATTTATCGGATTGTAAAAAAAAAATCAATTATATATAATATATAAAATCACTTTATTAATAAGATAAGAAATCAGCTTCAATCAAAATTGTTGTTTACATATTGATATGATATGAAATGCAGAAAAAATAAAATGATGAAAAGAGGGAGAAAAAGAAACGTAGTAAAACGTGCAAGGAAAAGAATCCGAGAAGAAAAAATGAAAAATAAACTACGACAATTTAATAATCTCACTCGATCGTAATTTCGGACGTAGCGTTAAACTGCTTGACACATAAGGGCGTATGCGAAGACGATTAACATTATAGCAGCGATGGAGTTATTTCGAAGGGATTATTGAATATAACCCCCAATATACGAGACTTGTCAAATTTTCTTCATTTCCACCCGTTTCGTTTTCGATGTCAACGGGAAACAACATTATCTGATAATACTTGACATCCATTGAAGTGAGACTCCGCGCGAGATAAATAGAACAAATCCATGACTCACGTACCGCTATGACATTCACAAAGGTAGTTTTTCCACTGTATTGCAGACCGACGAGAGTGAGCTCCATTTCTTCCTTCCAGAAGAGAGACTTGAACCAATCCAAGATCCGATTAATAAGGGCCAACATGTTGAATTTCGTGCGATCAAATCCAGCTCCGTTGGAAGAGGTTAAAATGGAAACTCCTTCAAATAAATACGACCGCTCGGACTTTTTGACGTATAGGTCCCCGCTATATCCGCTGTCTCTCTCAGGCTCGCTCAGGCTACGTTCGACGTTAGTCACCGACGAGGTGACTATTAAAGACCGATGGTCTTGTGAGAGTCGGATGACTCGAAAAAGGCTTATACACTAGCGTCCTCTCAATAATATCGCGGCTAGAGTATGAAATACGTAATTTATGTAATTTATATGCACAAATAGCTGCATATTTTTTGTAAACAATTATGTGTTTGCTTCACATACGTCAATTTATTTTTTTTATTATTTTGTGTGTAAAATCATTGAAAAATAAATTTAAAATTCAAATTCAAGAAAAATTCAATGAGATATTTTTTAATTTATATAAAATTATGTCAAGTTAAAAGTATATATAAATATAATATTATTTAATAATATTAATATATAATTAATAATTTGATATTAATTTATTAATATATTTATAATATTTTAATAATAATATTAATATATTTTTTTATATTGAATAAATTCTCCTAAGGCCTATTAATTAGTTTTATGCTCAAGTCGATAGTGTGAACACTGCATAAGGTTTATGACATTGGGAATACAATTAAAATATACGGATAGCATCTCTAAATATAAGCTTTATGGACAAATGTAATATCATTTCCTCCTTTCTTGGTGAAAGTAAAGAGAAAACTGAACTTTATATATATGTATATATATATATATATATATATATATATATATATATATATATATATATATATATATCTATCTCTCTCAGTTTTCTCTCTGATTTAAGGTGCAATTTCATTGACGCTAGAAACTAGCGGCAAATTAAAATCATTAGACTTTCTCTAGATATGGCATCAATAAAATAAAGTTCAAACAGTTTCAACTTTTTCAGTGTATAAAGCGGCCTTTTCATTGACGCTACTTTTTAGCGTCAATGAAATTGCACCTTAACAGTTGGCAGCCCTACGAGATAGGCTGTGCAGCACTGCGCGTATATAAAATAAATTTGAAATCGCTTCTAGCCTAACCATCTTCACGCGATCGACTTTATTCGAATTGCACGGCATCGCATCGAATTATGATGCCGCGCCGATTTGTTCGAACGTAATTCGGGACATCGCGATGCTGTATAAGCGTCGAATGAGCACGAATTGTCACGCAAATATGATAAATCACATCTACTCACCGTTCACCGGCTGTTCCACAGGCCGCTCCACTCGCTCGCCTCGGGACGTCCCATTCCGATCTTGATGCACACGATATCATCAACGCGAACGCGCGACACTTTATTCGGCACTCCCGATATTCGCTCGCATCCGATAATCATCATCAAGGGCGCAAATAACGCGACGCGACTTCGCTCCATCTTCGCGATCGCGCTATCACTGAACTGTGAAAAATAGCTGTCGCGCACTTTCACCGACATATTATGAAAGTCGCGCGATCATCCTTGGACACTTTCGACGCTCTTTCACTCGCGATATTTGTTTAAAAACGGTTAAAAGACGTGAAAAATGCGGACGTACGACAATCCGTGTAACTGCGTATGACTCCGATTCACGTATGACGCGTATGACGTAGCAATGACGCGTATGACGTAGCGATCACGCGCTAACATGGCGGCCGAACCAGTGCGCATTCGTTTCTGCGCACTGATTCGGCCGCCATGTTAGCGCGTGACTGCTACGTCATACGCGTCATACGTGAATCGGAGTCATACGCAGTTACACGGATCGTCGTACGTCCGCATTTTTCGCGTCTTTTAACCGTTTTTAAACGAATATCGCGAGTGAAAGAGCGTCGAAAGTGTCCAAGGATGATCGCGCGACTTTCATAATATGTCGGTGAAAGTGCGCGACAGCTATTTTTCACAGTTCAGTGATAGCGCGATCGCGAAGATGGAGCGAAGTCGCGTCACGTTATTTGCGTCCTTGATGATGATTATCGGATGCGAGCGAATATCGGGAGTGCCGAATAAAGTGTCGCGCGTTCGCGTTGATGATATCGTGTGCATCAAGATCGGAATGGGACGTCCCGAGGCGAGCGAGTGGAGCGGCCTGTGGAACAGCCGGTGAACGGTGAGTAGATGTGATTTATCATATTTGCGTGACAATTCGTGCTCATTCGACGCTTATACAGCATCGCGATGTCCCGAATTACGTTCGAACAAATCGGCGCGGCATCATAATTCGATGCGATGCCATGCAATTCAAATAAAGTCGATCGCGTGAAGATGGTTAGGCTAGAAGCGATTTCAAATTTATTTTATATACGCGCAGTGCTGCACAGCCTATCTCGTAGGGCTGCCAACTGTTAAGGTGCAATTTCATTGACGCTAAAAAGTAGCGTCAATGAAAAGGCCGCTTTACACACTGAAAAAGTTGAAACTGTTTGAACTTTATTTTATTGATGCCATATCTAGAGAAAGTCTAGTGATTTTAATTTGCCGCTGGTTTCTAGCGTCAATGAAATTGCACCTTTAGAATAGAATTTAGTGATATTTACATCTCCCCAAAAAAAAAAAATCTTTGGCAGATAGAAAAAATTCCTCGCAAATAACCGACATATTTTGACACGGCAACAGCTGTAGCTCTTCGCAAAATGTCACATCAGACGGGAATCAAAGGTGATTATGTGTTTCTTATTATATATGAAGCGTCTTTATGGCGAAAATTAATTGAAACGATTCGTTTGTATAAAATACCATCGTTAACAATATTGTAATAAGATTGATTTTTTTCTTTTTAGCCAATGATGCATTGAAGAAGTTGTTTGCGAAATGCCGTGACGGAAAAATTCGAGTACTGAAGGTTTCGATAGAAAATGGTGAGTTTTTTGTTGAATCATGGAATTTGCATTTTTATCCTACTATTATTAGAGGTCTCGTAATTTAAGAGATATTGAGATTAAAAAGCACAGATATATATATAATATTCTTTTTTTACTTATTTAATTTTTCAGAACAATTGACTCCAATGTCTAGTTCCAAGCCAATAAACAAGTGGCAGGATGATTATGATAAAATGATCAAACCATTAATTGTGGAAAATCAGCCAGCTTATATCCTCTATAGATTAGATACCAAATCACCAGATTCTGGTTACGATTGGTTATTCATATCCTGGTCTCCTGATACCGCACCAGTGAGACAAAAAATGCTTTATGCCTCTACTAAAGCTACATTGAAGCAAGAATTTGGTACATCTTCGATAAAAGAAGAATTACATGGCACAGTTCCAGAAGATATTACATTAGATGGTTATCACAAGCATAAGAGAAATGATACGGTACCTGTACCACTGACAACAGCGGAGGAAGAATTAGCTGAATTGAAAAAGACTACAGCGACTACTGACTACAGTGTAGAAACAAGGCATCAGACATTAAGTGGTGTAGCATTTCCAGTAACAGATGAAGCCAAACAGGCTATTATGGAGTTAGAAAAGGGAATTCATGAATATGTCCAATTAAAAATTGAATTAGATGAAGAAAAAATACATTTAGTAACAGCTTGTGATGTTTCATTAGATAAATTACCTACTAAAATTCCATCTGATGCTGCTAGATATCATCTTTATAATTTTAAACATACTCATGAAGGAGATTACACAGAAAGTATAGGTAGGTAAATGATAAATGTAGTAATGAATATAGTAATTTTACATGTCAATATAGTACAAATAATTTCTACATTTCTTTTTTTAGTTTTTATATATAGCATGCCAGGATATAGTTGCAGTATTAAAGAAAGAATGTTGTATTCATCATGCAAAGCACCTCTTCTTGATCTTATCCAATCTCTAGGAGTAATTATAGCAAAAAAGGTTAGTATATATTTAATCCTTTGATAATTTATTATTTTATTTTTATATTCTCGCACCTTTTTAATATAAATATCTTTTTAATATTATTTGTTTAAGTATAGAGATAATATTAATGCAATTAAATGAACATGCTTTTCAAATAATAAAAGCTTAAAATTTTAATTGTGTGTAATTGCAAAAGTCACTGAAAATCGTATATATGTGTTTTATAATGTGGAATGTGTGTGTGTGTGTGTTATAAAACACATGTGATTTTTTATGAATTTTGTAATATTAATTAAACTTTTGAACTTTGTGATTTTAAAAGCACTCATACAAAGCATATACAAAGAAAGACAAAAAGAGAGAGAAAGAATATTCTAGATCTCTTGTGACTATTTAATGAAATTTTCTGGGATTATTTGTAGATAAAAATTCTTATATCAAAAATTATTTTTAAATCGAATATATTTAATTGAAATATTTAGAGAAGTATTAAAATTGATTACTGAACTAGATTGTATATAAAGTTCGAGTGCTCAGACATAATATAACATTGTATAATAGAAATCTCTGTAGATATCAATTCTATTCTCGATATTAATATAATTTTATTGAAATTAGTTTTTAAATTTGCCTTTTTTATAATTGTTTATTGCAAGAATAATAATTTAAAAAAGAGAATAGAGAATTTTATAGAATGTCGACGTTAAAGTACGATGTGCATCAAAATTGTTTAAAATGTATTTTATATGAATGATGTGTGTGTATGTACACACACACATATACACACACGCATACTCATGTATACATCCCATGCTACTTTTTGCACTTTATGTACATACACAATACTCTCTCTTTTTGTCTCTTTGAATATAAAATTTTTAGAACTAACAGGATTGGGAAAGTCACATTATAAAAAATAAGTCGTTACCTTGTTATTTGTTACCAATTTTTTAAAAGTAACTCATTATCAATATTATTATTCAAATAGTAATGCACTATTATAATTTCCATGTTTTTTTTTCTTTTAATGTTAATACAAAATTAAACACATTTAAAATTGATATTTTTAAACATTTTTTATATTAAAATATAAAATATAATAAAAATGATTTAATTTCGATAGTGATCTTACTATTGATAAGTGTGTAATAATTTCATTTTTTTTTTAAATAATAATTTTGATAAAAAGAAGCTTAAAAATCTTACAAAGGAACGTTTTTAAAATTTTTAAATGCTGTAAATAAAGAAGAGAAAATTTTCTGATTATTAGTGTTTTCTTTTAATAGATTTGTAAATAGATTTGTGATATGCTAATCTTTATAATTTTAAATCCTCTTCATTGATCATCGAATTATCTATGTTAAATATTTCTTATAAAGTAGAAAGAAATGAGATATTAAAAGAGTTCTAGCAGTTTTGTAATTTTAATATCCGTTGAATAGTTATTTGTATGAAAATTATAAATAAATTTAAAAAAGTAATGACAAAATAAATTTGTTAATTTTGTTATTCTTGTTACTGAAAAAATGTAACAAAGTTATTTTTTCTATTATAAAGTAATGTGTTATTTCTCAATCCTGATTGTGAGAGCTGATATATATTATCTGTTCTCTTAAAATTAAATGCTTCAAATGGTAATCTTGTGTGCTACGCTTATAATAATCTTCAACAATAATTATAATACATCTTCGATCTATACACTTGCTTTTCTAAATCTAAATAATATTGCATACTATTATTTATTATTTTTTATGTGATATTTAAACTATTTTTCATATGTATACATATGTACATATATAACTACCATCTCTGTATTATATAAATGCAATCCCAGTTGGAAGTAAATAGTGGGGAAGAGTTAACAGATATGTTAGAAGATCCTCCAAGCATAAAAGATACAGCTGCAATAACTCCCGCAACTCCATCGACACCTTGTGCCCCTACTCAATTCATACCAGAGAAAAAATCAAAACAGAAACGATCTTGTGTTTTGAGCTAAAACTGACCTAAAGCATTTGTCTCTGCTATTATTGCTTCTGCTAATTGAAGTGTTTGTGATGTTTTGCGCATCAATAGCTCCCTTTATGAATTTCAGAATTATAGTATATAATATTGTGACATTATTAATGAATTATTTAAAATAAAATAATGGGTTTTTCCAATGTTTCCAATATTAAAGCAAATTATCGATTGCAATATATGTTGCAAACTAATTTAAAAGCAGTAGAAAGCGCGCATTATATAAAAAAAATATTAATCTCAGTGTTGTTAATCAACATTTAGAAATAATTTATGTGTCAAAGTAAATATAAAGCTATTTAATGAAGCAGAATAGACTAAATAATGTATTTTTCTAAATTATAAAAGCAAAAATGTCAGACACATGAAAGGCTCTCTGTTGTGAAATGCCATTTATATCTATTAATAACTTAATGTGAGATGCCTATACAATACAACTCCGTATAGTACATATTATTTTAAAAGTATATTATGATATTATTCATAATATTCATTTATATGAAAAACAAATGATCTAAAATGGAGTAAAATTATTTTGTTTGATATTGAAAGCTAAGCTTTATTTTTTGAATTTTATATTTGACAAATAAGCTGAGATGAAGTAAAGTTATTTTGTTTGATATTAAAAGCTAAGCCTCATTTTTTGGACTTTATATTTGACAGATGAGCTAAGATGAAATAAAATGATTTTGTTTGACATTGAAAGCTAAGCCTTATTTTTCAAATTTTATATTTGACATTTAAGCACTAGTATGTCATGTGATGAGTAAATGAAATGTGAATGTAATTTAATTATCTATAGAATTTAACGTTTCTACTCATATATAGTGTTCCTTCATTTTTTTAAATTTTATATATACTTTATATACATATACATATATACATTTATATACATATATACATTTATATACATATATACATATACATGTGATTCTTTTAATCTAATACATGCAATATACACATCTAATTTAAATTGGACATGTTGGATTATTTCATAAGCAATTAAAGACATGAAAAAGTTGTTTTACACAAAAATTATTTTATTTGAGAGATAACAATATATAGTTAGCCTTTTTAATAAGTAGAAAAATATATAGAGAACGTTTCAAAATTGATTTTATTTTCTTTAATTACAGCTATCGTCAATAGAGTATGAATACCCGCAGTTAAAGGATTAAATAGTATATTATATTTATTTATCCATAATGAGATAACATAGTTCACAACTTTCTACAACTTATTTTAATAATTGTGCTATTAAAGATAAAAAGATGTAGTGTAAAAATTTTTGAAAAATTTATTCATTAAAAAAATGAAGTTGACTTTGAAATTTTGTCTATATATTTTTATCTACAAAATAATTATGTACATCTATTTAGATATATCATGCATAGACACACACACACACACACACCTAAAAAAATATATATATAAAATATATAATACGTTATCCCGAATTAGTTCCTAGTCTTATTAAAAGTGATACGTCATTTTAAGTATTTTTTATAAGTGGAATTTTTGAAGGCTTGGCTTTTAAGCTCATTCAAATAGTCATGTAGAGTTTAGTAAATATTTGCAATATTTTTCTGTAGTAACTTGTATACAATATGTGATGGATAGAGAGTTGGGAAAAATTCCATATTTGCTCTAGATATAGATAAAAGGAAGGAAAAGAAATAGAGCTAAAGCCATTCACCTAACTTCTCTATATACGTATTTTCAATATGATAATAACGTAGTGGACAGTGATAAATACGCGAGCGCCACATTAACGTAAATATATTTTTTTTGCACATTATTATTTTAGCTATAAAATAGTGATAACAAACTAGTTATTCTACATATAAAATTTTATATCATGTTCTACACTATTATAAATGCTATAAAATATTAGATTCTACACAAGTATGCGTATGAAATAAGACTGATTTGAGATGAGTCCTATCAGCTGTTAATGCATATTAAACATTTGCATTTGCATAACTATAAGATCTTACAAGATTTCAATCAATATCAATTTAAAATTATCTCTTTATTGAATTCTTAGAAAATTACATTATACTAAAAAATTTTTACTTTTAATGTATTTATTATTTTGTCCTATGTCCTATGTCTCCAAAATATTAAACATTTAAATGCATATGCAAGAAAACAGCAGATAGGATTAAAATTTGATAACCAGCAACAAAATATATAAGAGGCATTCTATTTTTTGTGATCTGTATTTTTTTAATACTTGTAGCTTTTTATAAACTTTAAATATTTTAGTCTAAAATAGAAAAATATAAAAATAGTTAGGTCTACTTGTGCTGTGAAAATAATTTGTGAGTTAAATTCTTTCTAATTTTTTTCTCTTCCGTGCACAATTATGTTTTTTATATTGTATAAATATGCAAAAATAATGTTTAAGTCTATATATGTGGTTTTAGAGAAATTTATTATCTTTAATAAATTATAAAAGAGAATTCTATTTATGATAGTTTATCTAAAGCCGCGGAAGAGAAAATAAAAAGAAATTTGGCTCACACATTTGCTATAGAATAATTAAGTTAAGTTCTTGTATTCTATGCTAAAAAAATAGTTACAGACAATGTTCCATTTTATAAAATCATGACGCACAGTGTTGCCTAGTATATTTTAATTAAGTATCATATCAGGCCTATTCTGTAATTCTTTAATTTTATCTTAGCTCTGATTTCTCAGTTATTGTAGATATAGACTCATTAAAGTCAAGGATATTGTATATCTTGTCAATATCAAATATACTGGAAATAATAAAGCATCATGCAATTTAAACTTACAATTTGTGTTTCCTTTTATATTACATTCAGTATTATGTATATTTATACCAGGTGCACATACGATGTATGTAATTGCTAAGGACCATTTATAGGTATGTATGTTGCAATTATGTAACTAAAAACTATAAAGACTCTTTTAACGATCTTAAATGAGTAATGATGATTATTTTTAAGGTTTAAAAGCATGTTTGTTACAGAGCTTACAGAATAGGCCTGCCATATGTGACCTATAGCCACGTCAATAATTTATAAAATATTTTTCTATTTCCATATGTACACACAATGTAATTAATAGCTTAATATATGAATATTTTTCTTCAATCGGGACATATTTGTAAAAATACGTATACATCGTGTGTGCATATAATCTCCTATTATATATAGGGAGAGTTTTTACTTTTGCTATTAAAATATGTTGATTATATAGCTTGAAATAACTGATGGAAAGGAACTTACGGAGGAATTTTTTCAAGAGGAATTGCATCCAAAAATCAGTTTGCATCAGCCCAAATTCGCTAAACCCAAGGGTCCACCAAACAGAGGTGCTAAACGTATAACTAAGGTTCAGGAATTAGCATCTTCTGATTAAAAAAAATTAAATTACGAAATTTATAATATCAAATAAAAAGCATAATAGTAGATAATATTTTCTAATGTATTTTCTTGCGCATCCACGTTCTTAAAATGTTTATTAAAGTTTTTCCTTTTTCATTTATTGCCAATGAAAAATATTTTTTAAACAGTTAAAACATAATTTTTTTAACATTATATTTTGACCTATTCTGTAAATATATTTAAAAAAATATTATTTATTCTATTTAATTTCTTATTTAAATTTTTATATACAAGATATAAGATTCATCAAGCTTTACACTTATGGTATGATAAATTATTTGTATGTTTAAAGAATGATTTTGAATTATTTTGCCATCTTCGCGCAAAACTTTCATTAATTATCAACACAAATAAAGATATATATACATATGCAAGATTTATAGATGAATAATAATAACACACATATATAGCTATATACAAGATTTATTTACATAATAAGTTTATGTTTTATCTTCAATATTTTCTGTTTGTTCAATTAAGTGACTTTTTTTAATGTCTTCATATAGCTGCCTTACTTCTGATAATTCAGTACTCATACCTTCCTTTATCTTCTTATCGATGGTCCTATAATTATTAAATATAAGAAATATTAATACTGAAAAATGAAATATAAACAGATACATTTTATGACTTCTACATACAATAAAAATATTGAATTATATATATATATATATATATATATATATATATATATATATATACTATAAAGTTTATTTAAAAAAAAATTACATATTTAAGATCTCAATTATGAAATATATACCATTTTTATATAATACTTACTCATCTCTTGAATTTATCCATTGCTTTTGTGCCTCTAGTACTTCATCCATAGTTACGCCTGATATTTGAAGAATAACAAGTGATGTAACACCATATATTCCACCTAATATACTACCAAGCCCCATGCCAATAAGAGCTGCTCGAAGCCCTAAATTTATTTTAAATAGTAATCCTGTTATAGAAGCACCCAACATATAATTTTCTACTGCTATTTTTCCTCGATATGCCGATGTGCATGTTGTTACAGTACTGTTAAAAAAAATATATATATATTTTTAACTTACAGCATAAATCATTCTATATAAAATTTAAAGGTCATAGAAGCTATATTTTTACCTAAATATACAACAAAAAAGTGCTAGTTTTCCTCCCATTCTTGAACCCTTCCTTATGAAATTTGTAACGACTGCCTGCTGTAAATGCCATTTTGCATCAAAATGACTAATAAATTTTGTCGCTTCATTATTTGAGATAAAATTATCCACAGTATTTTTAGATGCAGTTACACCACCCAAGACCATACCAAACATGCCACCTGATAATGTTATATTTATGATAGATGTCAATTCTTTTGTGTATTTACCTTCTTGGCTGTAAAAGAAAATTATTTATAGTAACAATTGTATAACATAAAACGAAAAATTATTTTTACAATACAAATAAATAATTAGATAATATATAAAATAGATGTACTTTAGACGAAATATATTTTTTACTCTATCCCAACCAAATTTATCATCCAGTGGATTTATTATGCTATTCGCAGGTTTGTCGAAATTAGTAGTATTACCAAATGGAAGTATGCTTATTAGTATTGGGCTTCTAACTAAACTTAAACGTATCATTTTCTGACAAACTTTGAGAATTTAATGCAAATGTATATGCATAAATATTGCCTGCAACAAAATTAAAAAAATAAATATTTACGTAAATAAAGATTACATTAAAAGATTATAATAATAATACAATGAAATAATTAAATTATTATTTAAGAGATCTTTATTCTAGATTGTTTTATATTTATAACCTTCGTCTATATAAAGTCAATATATAAATATCCAAATAATGGAGATGTAGATTAACAAAACTTTTAAAATGACCGAAAAATATTTAGAAATATATAGAAATGTAAATATTATATTATTATATTCATAAACATTTTTTAATAGAAAATTAGAAATCGGAGAGGAAAATTAAATTGTCAACTCCACAAATTTTGTTGTATACTATCTGTATATAATTTTATATACTATTCGTATTCGTGTTTTAGCAAAGTCTGGTTAGATCTCTCTAGACACGTTCCATTTGCCATGGCCACCAATTTTAGTTACGTAAAGAGCGGTGAAGGGTGGCACCCGATTGACCACGTCGCCAATTGGCCAATTCAAAATAGGACTCTCTGATTGGTTAATCGTTGCTGGTTACCCTAGGCACAGGTCGATATAATTGGCTGTGGTCAATCGCAACGTGGTCAAACGGGACGCTCCCGCGGTGAATTTCATTGGAGTTTGGTCATCATTTTAGGATTGCAGGTTCTCTGTCTATGTATTTTATATCTATGGCTCTATAGAATTTAATGTCAGTGGTTATGCGTGTCACTATTCGTTGCTATTCAGTGTAATGACAGTTTTCTGATATCCCATTCCAGGTTTACTGTAATGATAAACATAAAAACATGAAAGAGATTCGCACGTCAAAATTTCAATATACTTTATATCCGCGTGTTTAATAGAGGTAATCTCGAATTAAAATGTATCGCTCAAATTAAATAGATAACCACACATCGTCTTACGTAGAGAAAAATATTATTATTGTAGCGAATTATTTTTAACGGACAAAAAACTCAAGATTATATTATTTTGTTGTACGTATAAATAAATACATCAATGTTGTTCAATTTATCTAACTTGTTTATTAGACATATATAAGTGTATATTCAGTTTCTCGCGATGTATCGAATACTTTAAAATTAATATGTCAAATTTTATCAATTTCATGTTTTAGAAGATACCTAATTTTCTTATATAATTCTTATTGTTACAAATGTATAAATTATGTTGATAATTTAAATAATACGAATTTAAAATAGATAAATTTATATTAGGATTTATAGTAGAATTAAAAATAAATTTTCAATATATATTTCTATATATATATATATATATATATATATATATATATATATTGAAATTTAATAGAAATTAAATAATTTGTATATATATATATATATATATACAAATATATATTTTGTGTATATATATATATATATATATATATATATATACATAAAATTTTTAAAATGTATTAAGTAGATATTTTTCTATTTGAAAGAGAGTATATGAAATGTTATGAGAGTAATAACTTCTAATTTAACAGACTAAAGGAAATAATACCATACATCATGGAAAACAATGAAGCAACCAATGTTACGATCTCATCTTTCTTTGAAACAGCCTTTTGGAATTATTCCGATCATGTTATCTTGGATGATCTTAAAATGGACAGCAACTTTATATGGTTGCTTTGTTCCTTAGTATCTGCTATATCCTGGATTGTTTATATTGCTTATTATAATAGCAGAGTGGCTGGTTACATATTAACAAAATTATTAAATCGATTTGTTATTAGAGATGGATATGTTAAAGTTGGTAAGGAAACATAATTGATGTTGGATCATTTCAAAGTATTTATTTAATTTTTGCTCTACAGGTTCCTTTACACTAAGTGCTTTAAGTGGAAAAATAATGTTTAGAGATATAGTTTATATTACAATGGATTATAGCTTTAGAATTCAGGATGGTTGGCTTATATTTAGATGGTGGAGAAGCTATGTCCCCAAAGATGTATCAGAAGGTATATAAATACTATCTTCAATATTTAATAAATATAATAAATTTAATAAATTATAATAAATTTTAAAACAAAATATAATTAAAATTTTCTATATTGTAGATCTTTCACACTCTGATACACGATTGTCAGTTATGTTAAATGGATTTGAATTACATGTCTACAATCGCTGTCAACTTTACACACAATTGGAAAAATCTTTTGGTCTCATACCACAAATGTTTCCTGATGAGGAAGATCACAATATAAACATTGATGATCGGGATGGGGAGTCTATAAATAATGCAGCTAATGAAACTCGTCATTCGCAAATCAATGCAATGGACGTATCTCGTCATGTAGATAATATTAGAAAGAAGGAAGCTCATGTAATTGCGCGTACTTGGAGAGATCTGATACCAGTTATTAAATTAGACATTTGCACAGTTAGTAACATTTTTTCTACCTTGCCTTATAATTTTTCATATCTTTATCTATGAGCAAACTTTTTAAAAATATTGCAATATATATATTTGTGTTTTTTTAGGGAAGACTGGTATTTGGTAATCGTTTAGTACCAACTACATTATCTATTACTGTGGAGGAAGCGCATTTTGTTTATTCCACAAAACCTGCGGCATCTAGGCACGATCATTTTATGCACTTTACCAAGTGCAAGGCAGAGAATTTCAAAGTTATTTTGGCCCCAAGCCCAAAATACACCGGGATGGTTGACGATCCCCCCAGATACATGGGAGAAGGTTTCGTTGTTTTAAGTTCAAACAATATGGAGGTTTACTATTACATGGACGAACCAGGCGTTGTACCAGAACATCCCGAAATGATACAATTGGTAAACGGAGATATGGTTGAAGCGATGCCCCCTATATGGGGTATTGATATCAAATGTGGAAAGGGCACGGATTTCAGTTATGGTCCATGGGCTGATAGACAACGGGAGCATCTATTTAAATTTTTTTTTCCTAACAATTACCAGTCATTGAAGGTTACGAAATCACCTAAACCAGGAGATAAAAGACAGGTTCAATCGTTCGACATTAGATTATCGACACTGAATGAAGCGACAATTGATATACTTTTCAGTAAAAATAGAGAAACCAATGCAGTTCATGTTAATGTAGGACCAGGATCATACCTGGAAATTACAATGCCATGGATAGTATTACAGGATGGATATACCACCAAGATAACGGGTCAACTTCTACATTTGGAAGCTACTACTAGTCTACAATATCGAAGTTTGGTTGAAAGTGAGACCTTGGAATTTGGAGTAAAGTGTCATTATCCCATTAGATGGAATGATCATCAAGAGTGGACACTAAATTTAACTGGATGTAAAGCTACTGCTAATTTAGTCTATTTGCACAAAGATTTTTTTCAAGATATGATCAATGATTGGGCGAGCAAAGCAAGACCTGACATTTTACACTTTGTTCCATATACTTGGAAATTTAGTTTACTATTGAAAGAGTTTGAACTGATTACAGTTTGCAATGAATATAATTGGATCGATTGCTCATCCCAGAATCAAGAGAATGCGCACATTGCTTTCTGCGGGGAATTTTTTGATTTATCGTTTGATCTTCCATTCGTAGATTTTTTGCCTGTTACGATACCATTACGTTTTTGGATTCAAGGAGAAAGCGTTGATCTTTCGTTTTATTTACCAGAAGTTAATACCAATCGTATTATTTTACTATCGCTAGATAAAAATGCAAAGATCATGACGCGCGATGGATCTCAAAAGCATTTGCACGAATTGAACAGAGGCAAGAAATGGAGAAACTTTTGTCAAAAGGAATCGGGGTGGGTCGATTGTTGGTCTGTACCAATTGTAGCGTTGAGTATCAACTATACTTATCATTTATGTCCACCCTTGGGTCCTACTCCACAAGCCAATATAACAACTCCGGAAAAGGAAGAGATTCTTTTGTCTCCTATGCGAATTCCTAAATGTAGAAAATCACCAGGTTTACAGTGGGCAAGAAGTGGTGCGCAAAAGTTTGATCCACAATCTATAACGCCTGATAAAGTTAGCGTGGAACTTGAAATCGGTCCATCCGTATTGATTTTATACGGCTCCTTGCTAAAAAATTTTATGCACTTAAAAGAAAACATATTTGGAGATTATCAAACATTTACTGATATGCAACAAAGTAGAACTAGTTCAACACCGATTAACGCAGAAAGAAGCAAAGATAAAGATGTACAAAATAGCAGTGTCGAGGCATCCGTGGAAGATGAGGAATTAAAATCCAAGCCATTTGATCCGAGAGATTACAGATCCTTAGAAGTGACCGTCGGTGTTACTATGCATGACATTCAAGCTCATTTAATTAAGAATTGCAATGAAAACGACCCGTCGTGTCCGATCATAATCTTAGAACGTTTCGGATTCGAAATGAGAAAAAGTTATAAAGAAACACAACTACAATTATTGCTCTCTCCCGCCATTGCTCTACTTACGGATAACGTGGTGAGATCGAGCAAGGAACACCATTTAAATCAAGGACATTTAATGTTGAGCGCGTTACAAGTCAGGGGGCATGCTATGTTTAGCAACGAGGGAAGAAGCTTAGATCAGGAGACATTGGAGTATGCATGGTTGATTGAAGTGCAATTGGGCAAATTAAGCGGAAAAATCACCTCTCCTCAATTACATCACTTTGTTACGTCATTAGAGACCTTCCTGTTGATGGCAAAAAATACTGAAAACAATTTACGTCCACCCAATTTACCGTTTCAATGTCATCACGGCCTCCCTCCCCTACAATGCCCAGAGAGCGATGTCGACAAACATTATAGGTATACTTTCTCTATTTTCATATATAGAATAAAAATTTGTCGAAAATTTTTGCTTTATTTTATTCAGATTTATTATCGAATTAAATTTCAATATATTTTTAGATGCCCAAGTTCCGAGGATATTAAGTATCGAATGACGAGACTATCTATAGATGCCGTTGATTTATATCTACAAGAAGCGGGTACCGCCTTACAATTTTGGATATCTCCAATTCGTGTTGCCACTTGTAATCTTCATGGGCACCAGGTCAAATCGGGCATCACTGCTGTTCTACCTACAATATCGATTCGACAATTTGTATCCGCGGCAGATTACTTCGCAAATACAAGTAATACTAATACAACAGGCAGCGGAAGATCTCATAATAATGCAAGCAGTCGGATGTCAGGTATTTTTCGTATGTATCTGTGATTATGACTCTAATATGTAAACATAAATATATTTTAATTTATAATTAATAAAAATATTTAATATGTTTTTTCCTATGTACATGTAATATAGGCGATGGATCAGATATATGGCTTGAAGTAGGATCGATATCTCTGGGTCCGGTTATTTTAGAAGCTGCGATTTCTCTCCCAGCTCCGGAGCATAATTTGCATTTAGTACAAAATAAATATCTAAAGATGCATGACGAGGCAACGAAACGCTTGTGGTTTTTGTGGCTGCAGGAGAGCGGGGTAAAGGCAACAAAGTGCGGCTGTATAGGAGGTTGCGTATTCTTCGGTAATAATCGAAATGGACCGAGATTTTTCAAGCCGAGCTATCAAGATCTTCAGGATGGTATCAATATCGCTGCTTACAGGTGGATATTTGTTTTTTCTTGCTTCAAATGTTCAGACTTGACGAATAATGAAATATTTTCTGTATTTTCATATAAATTATAATATATAAATATATATATATATATATATATATATATATATATAATAATTTATAAATATACTCTAATATAATATAATATATTAAATTATAAATATTATTTTATTTTATTATAAGTATTTTATTTTATTTCACATAAATTATAATATTTTCTGTTTTATATATATTGTATTTTTATTATTGTTCTCAGAATTCATGAACCTGGTAAAGAGAAAGGATTTGGGCAATCTATTTTACACGATAGGCAATTGGTATTCCACACACCGCCGTATAGTTTACAAGATATATCTTTGCAAGATATATGTCATCCTATGACAGGATTAAAAGTAACCCTCAATCAAGATGGTTCGCAAATTACGAAGAAGGGCATTGAACGTCCGAAATCTGTGACAGATCATAATAAGGAAGAAAATATTAGTACAAAATTAAACGTTGCATCTGCAAGTCCATTGATACCTAGTGGTGACAAAAAACCGCTGGACAGAAGATTTTCTTACACATCAATGCGGTAATTTTAAGGGGATTTGTAACAATTTTCTAAAATTATTTAAACTTTTCTGAAGATATAATTATATATTTACAATTATATATTCTATTATATGATTTAATCTCTAGATAATATTTTATTCAATTATTAATAACAAGAGAATTCAAAATTAGATATTTTATAGAACAAAACGATATCATTTTTTTTTTAATTTATAAAATAATTGATAAAATAAGTAGTGTTAGTTACTTTTTTGCTAAGAAAATTGAAAAAAAGAAAAAAATAATATAAATGTTGAAAAATATATAATTAATACTCATATGGAAATATTTTTACTTGCAAAAATTTTGCTTATGGCGATATTTATAAATTTGTTTCGGTGTTACAGTGGGCCGAATGTAAAAGATGTACCGTATTCTCGTTTGATTGACGCTAGTCCAGTGACACAGCTACCTCAAAAATTAGATTCGGATTCTAAACTGAACGTAGAACGAAGTAAATCCATTTTAAATGTACCGGAGATCGAAACTGCACCCAAAAGTAGCGTGTCTGATTCCAAATTAGCTGTAGACTATTTTACTGCAACGGAAAATATGGAAACTGAATCTGCGAGTAGTCCGCAATCTTTACCTGTGGTTCCAACTGAATTCAATATCTCTGCATCTACATGTTTGACCGAAAAATATGAACAACGTGAAGGAGTGAATGTATCAGATTCTCATCATTCGTTATATGCGAGGACAAACTCGGAAGAGCGACTGAAGCAGGAGGTAAACGATATCGCGAGTTTTAAAATATTGTATTTTATCATTTACCGTATTTATATATGTTTAAAAGGTGCAACGTACGATATCTATGTCATCGGAAAATCATTCGGAAGCATTTTATTCGGCTGATGAAGATATGAGCCACGGATTAAGTGGAAGTCGAACATCCAGCTTACGCCAATCCATCGTCGGTTCTGGTTGTGTCTTAAATCGCAATGACAGCATGAAGAAAAAATTCTCGTCAGACTTGTCTATCGTCGAGAGCTCGACCAATATGAATCACTCAGTGGCAGACAAGGCGCATACGTTGGAGAGAGCGAAAACACAAATATTAAATTCAAAAAGAAGCCCTAGGATCAACAGAAATGCCAGTTTTCAAAATGAAATTGATCCAACTGAAAGTGGTCGCGCTATGCAAGACTCTTCGGATAGTCATTCGGTATCATCGACTAGTTTTATCTCCGCTGTATCGTCACAAGAAGATGTCACGCTTGTAAATTTGCACATGCAAGTGAACAAGCCAATCGTAGATTCGCCGTTATTGATGTCCAGTTACGTCAGCCACTTGACACAGGTACTTTTGTTGTTGACAAATTCGTTTTATCTTATTCATTTATCTTATTTCTCTTTAATAATTTATATTATATAATAGTATATAAATTATTAAAGTATAAATTATATATATTAAACAATAAAATTATAATTTACATAAAATAATAAAATAGTAATTTACATAAAATCTAAGCATGGAACAAAATGTGTTAGGTCCGCTGTACAAATTGGAATCAATCCTCATTACCTGCGGGTGGCGATGCTTTTACTACTCCTGTATTTCAACGTATGGAAGATGGTAGATTAGTTTATGTTGGTGGACGATACGTGCCAAAACTTGAAACGGTCACCGAAGGTTTTACATCGTTGAAAATGATAACACGTTCTGATGGTTCACCTATTGTAGGTTCATCTAATAAAACGCCTACACATCCTTACTTGTGGGACGATGTATCTTTAAATCGAACAGAAGGTGCGTTAAAAGGTATCATTAAAAAATTACGTATTTGAATGGTCTCGAAAAAATTTAAAAATATTCATGTAGGCGAAGAGGATAGTGCGATGCATAACGAGGAGGAATTATTGGCAATATTGCACGAAACTGGATTACGTACAACGGTTATCGTCAAATTTAAAGGAGACGTCGATATTATGTTAAGCCCCATGGTTCTAGAATCGCTTCAACGTTTCATCGATAGTATTATACCAACCTTGGCTAGTCTCCATCCATTAACGATCTTAAATCATCTTCACAATGAATGCATAAGCAAAGTAGAGAATGCAAACATTTTAAAACAAGATCAGAGTTTATCATATTGGAGTCAAGTTCAAACTAGTTCAAAACGATCGACAGCAGAAAGAAATCTTAAAAATGGTCAAGGTGATGACAAATGTTAGTTTTTACGATACATTTTGTTATATCATTCAAAGATCAATATGTGTATTTATAGATTTTTTATTTCTATAAATAGGTAAGATTGCGCTACAAACGAATGTTTATGAAGAAAGTATTACGACACAAGTACAAGGCAGTATTATTTTACCGAAGGTATAATAATTTTGGGTAATGAGATCAATAACTTTCCATGAATTTCTCATACATGTGCTCTTCAATTATATTTTAACATTATTTTCAGTTGAACTTAACATTGTTACAAGCATCCGTTGTTGAAGAGATTATATCTTTTTCCGCGTTAGAAAATATCCGTGATCTGACGTGCGTATCATTATTTGCGATTTGTCTCGACGATGTTACTGCTAGATTTTATCTGGCGAAACAGGCCCGAGAGGTCGTTCAGATGTTCCATAAACCAGCCGCATTACCGAATCAGAAGAAAGTGAACAAGATTAGCAAAGTGTTTTTACCCGGACATCAAACTACCGCGGTAGTAGCTGATGTAGGAGGAGAAACGGTGTACATAGAGACGTCGGAAAAACAACAGGAAGAGATTGTAGTTACTTTAAATATCGGTATATATATAAATAAATTAATATGTATCATATACGAAAGAGCGCGTTTTATACATTACGTTATATAAATTTTTTTTTCTTTTTCAATAGGTAAAGCACATACTCAATTAAGAAGGCTAAGAAATGAATCTTCCATATTAAAGGATGCGGTCATAACTGCTATACCTGCTCATTATTCGAAAGTATTATTTACATGCACAAGAATGACATCGCCGTTAAAGTGTGTCGATTATTATTTACATCACATCGACGATAAAGAAAAGCCAAATGTATATGCAGATTTTTTTCTGAATAATACTTTAATGAATCGTAAAGAAATAAGAGATAATTTATTACACGTATTTTAGAAACAAACTGGACCACCGCAAGCTACCGAAGAATTTACTATGGGATGCGGAGAGGATAGATTGGGATTTATCATGTTTGAATGCGGTTTAGAGGGAATTAAATTGAAGGTAGTGAAGAGATCTCAGTTTGAAAAAAATGAAAATGGTGACAATAACAAAAAGAATGAAACTGAAATACTTTGTACGGATAGCATTAAGAGCCAAGAGGAATTGGATAATAATATTGCTGGTAAAAAAAGCTACGATTTTCAGTAATATTGATATAAAATTATTTTTTTCATTTTATTTATCTTGCTTTTATTTATAGCGTCCGCAACAACTACTACAGAGGCGGAAACAAAGCCGGCAAGCGTATCCGCCAGTACTCAAATGAATATGAGCGCTACATGCAACAGTCTCACATCCAAAGTAGCGAATGGCAATACCGTATCGTGCGTTATCGAGTTGAAAACTGTATGGTTTAACTTCGCCGCGCCTCCACGTACTCCAATAACGAGAAAGATCGATTACACGAGATTGGATTGGAATTTGCTGAGCACGGCATCGCCAGCGATAAATGCATGGATGAATCCCAGTAACAAATTTGCAATTCGGATTGTTCACATGTTTAGAACGATGTATCGTAGATCTACCGCGATTGTCGCTTGTCTCATGGCAGAAGCATTGGACGTACAAGGAATACATATGCCCATAAAGGTATATAATGATATATTGAAGAATTTTTGCCAGATTGACATTTTCATTAATTTTCTAATATTTTGCACAGAGTCGTTACGGAAGATTAACACCGTTGGCCAAAACATTGCAGGAAGATCCCTCTTGTCAATTATGTAGTATATTACAGAATTACGTTTTATTATCTGAAATCGCAAATATTGAAGCCAATTTGAAAGAATCCGATCTACCACTTCTTTCAACACTTCGACAGGTAATAATTTAAAGACCAAATCTTTATAAAATGTAGTTTCTATTTTACACACTATAAATATATATATATATATATATATATATATATATATATATATATTGTATATTATTATTTTCATTAGGGTGTCATCGTATTAAGCAGACAATGGAAGAATGTACTTTATACACCACTACTATTGGAACATAATTATAAAACCAAACACGTTAAACCATTGAACGTTACATTTGCTATGTCAGATCCAGATGAGGTAAGATATATATTGCATAGATGAATTAAGCAATGCTTGGTGATTTAAGTATTTATTAGTGATATTTAGTTGGTTGAGTTTTTGAAAAAATAATATTTAATTATTTATTTTGGTGTGTAAAAGATGGTTTTGACTTTATTGTCAAGGTATGACTTTATTGTCAAAGTTATGACTTTAATTAATCTCCAAAAGTTTTTAGTTCATTAAAAAATTATTACCAAATATGTGTGTGAATTTATTCAAAATGTTCAAACTTTGATAATGAAAAATTTGATTCTGGATACAATTTATATATCTATAGTATTATAAGATTATTAAATCTACAGTATGAGACTATTTAATTAATATATATATTTTGTATCTTTTTTTGTTCCGTCTTTTCAATATTTAAAATCTTGAAGAATCATCAATAGGAAAAATATAATTTGCTAGTAACTTTTTCTTTCAGCAAGTAAATAAAACAAAAGTGGAGGAAGAAATCGATATGAAAAGCAGTAAGAATTTTTAGTAAAAAATACTTCTATCAGAATTTATCCATTATGCAATACATATAACAAAGACGTTTATATTTTCTTTTTTCGAAAAAATTGAACTAAACGCTTTTAAAATTCTTCGTCTGCAAAATTGTTATTAAATACTGATTAACAAGAAAATATATAAAAGTGCCTTCCGATTTTTATACGTTCTATAATATATTTTAGAGAAATATATCATAGAGCTTTATATATATATATATACACACATATAAAAGAAATGTGTAAAGATACACTCTCACATATTTAGAAATTAAAATAATTCTTTAAAGATAACTCAGAATATATATGATTTTGATAATTTTTCGAAACTATGATGTATAGAAAAATTTCAGATAACTATTATCTGTGAAACTTATAAAAGTTATATAAAAGTTTTAGATAAGCGTGTGTTTAAATGCTAATTTCTTAAAAATATGATTTCAGAAAGCAGTTATTATACAGTGATGAATTTGGCATAAATGTTCTTTAATTTTTATTTTTATAAGATATTCAAAATAATAATTTTTATAAGATATTGCAAAATTAATTACGAGTGAAGGATATTTAAAAAAATATCATATTTTTGAAGAATCTAACTGCATCAAGAATGATATTTTTATCTGATACATTTTTTAAATATAATTCATGGTTTCAATATTACCTTTGACAACTTCGAAGTTAGTTTCGAAGCGTCGAAAAATATATTCTTGCAAATTCATATAAGAAATGTTGAAAATATTGTAAATAAAAGTGTATTAATATATATGCACAAAAAATTATTTAAAACATAAGTTATTAAAAATTATTGAAAATCAAAATTTTTAGACATTTTTCAATTTAACAATATAATTGCAATATTTTATTCAGATTTTTTCATAATTTTATAAATATATATTTATCGTGGTAATATAGAAGTCTAAAACTGGTGGTTTACTTCGATATTCGAACTTTTCATCCTTGAAACTTCAAAATTTCGATCTTTGAAGATTTTAATATCGTAGCCTTCGAAGTATATCATCAGTCCTAGTTTCACGATATTTGTTTAAAATTACATATATATTTATATTTATATATATTTATTTAAAATTACAAATTATTTTTTATTTTAAATATGTGAGAATATATTTTATTAAACATGTGAGAAAAAAAATTTCCTTATAAAAAAATAATTATCCATTGTATTTTAAGTTGTCTACATTATTTCCAAAGTTCAAATCAGAGAAGAATACTTTCATATATTTTTTTGTAGGAATTGTCACATACGTGTGCTTTTAACAATCTGTAATATATGTCTAATACAGCAATTTTATATATGTCTTATATAGTAATATATATATATATATATATATATATTTTACATATTTATCACATAATCAGGTGTATAGGTGCGACCATGCTTGGAAAATATGAATGTCGCTAATAAATATGTGGAATAACTTAAAATCTTTTTGATTATTGTAAAGTACTTTTATATTTCATTTTTTCATATTAAAAATTAACTTTATATGCTATATTCTGCTATATACTATATACAAGAGCAGGTCTAACGCGTTTTCTTTCGATTTAATTAGACATTACGATTATAAAAAAGTCAAGGAAAAAAGTTTGACACATTTAATATCAGCACAAATATATATTATTTTTTTTTAATTTAGCTTTGAAAAAATATTAAAAGAAATTATTTTGAGTGTTGGTTTTTGATGATACTTATAGGAGAATCTATTAACCGATGGAGAGGGTAGCGGGGGAGATATTGATGATCAGGAAGTCACAGATGAATGTGCTATGCTCATCCACACGGACCATATGCATAAACATGTACATATCAAAGGCGGACAAGATAAAACATCAGGTATTACAAATTATAGCAAGCATTAATACATTACAAGTATCTACAAATAATGAGACAGGATTTAACAAAGAAAAAAATTTTTAATAATTAAAAAATTAATATATTGTTATATAAAATACATTTAATATAATTAGCAAACACTATTATTTTTATTTATATTATTTATTATGCAATATTTTTTATATATATAATTATAATTAAAAAACATATATACATATATACATTGAGAAAAGAGGATATGATAAAATATATTTCACACATGTAGAAACTTCAGATTTAGAATCAAAAGATTTTATAGTTAAAGGAGTGTATATTATATAAAATAATTAAAGATTTCCTTTAACTTGGGAATATTTAAACAGATTATCTCAGTCTCTTGTATTTTTATACACATTTTTCACATGCATTCTGATTTAAAAAGAAATAATTACACTCCATTCTGATATATTGTGTATTAAGATATATTAATTTATCTAACAAAAGTCATCTTGTGTGCTGTTTTCACAAAGCTTGATCTATGATATGTAACTAATAAATTGTATACATGTTCATACATGTTGTACATATACATGCTTGTATATGTTCTTGCTTGAGTGTTTTTTTTTTATTTTCGTTTAACTAATTAGCATTTGTGAGTCTATCTTGTTAATTAACAAATGTAATACTATTATCTTTTATAAACGCTTCGGTTTACGGTAACATGGCTAGGTATATGTGGTGGTGGCGATGGTTTGACGGTTCCTGTAAGTTCTCCTCGCGGGAAAGATACAACTCCTATAACAACACCGGTTCCAGGCCCGGATTCATATTCCTCTCCCTCTCCGCCTGTAGCTGTTGCAAAGAGAGGAAAAACGTTGCAACAAACGCAAGTACCCGCTAGTGCTCGTGCGAGTATTGTTTTCCCTTTACTTACCAGCAGTGGACTATTCGGTCAAACACGAGAAGCGAATAATATAAGTAAGTGGGGATAGAAGGGACACTTTAATTTTCTTTATAATTAGCAATTAACATTAAGTCATTTTATCTCTCTAATAAATCGACTTGTTTGAAGTACATTGGAATGACAATTAAAACTATAACATATATACAAACTATATATACAAGGAGTGACAATTAAACTATATGTTATGTATGTATATGTATGATTTCATCTTTTAAATATAATCCATTTTATCATGAAGAAATTTAGAGATACTTTTATATTTTTCTTACTAATGTTTCTGAAATAATGATTCTCTTTGCAAAATTTTGAGAATTTCTATCAATGTTGTAATATTATTTATCGCTTGTAGCTAATCTTTTAATTATTATTATTAATAATATACCTCTAGGATATGTTTGTTATAATTATTAAATTATTTTTATATCAGGCTATGGAACTTTGAGGGAAGAGAAGACGCCGCAAATTCATATCTCGCATTCGCATCAACTTGGCTCCAATCCTAGCATTTATTCTGGAGGTGTAGGTCACGGTAGTCAACATAGCACTGGAAGCCTAGAACAAGTAACATCTCCCACAAATCATTCTACTAAGCCTATAAATACAGGGGAAGATTTGTACAGCTGGATGGCAAAGCAGCAAGAATTTATAAAAGATAACGACAAAGAAAATTTAAAAGGAAATTGGGTAAGCATTTAGTATATATTATTATAGTCTTCCTATTAAAATATGTAAGCGATGTGTTTTTAGAAATATATAAAGATTTATATATGTATATTGAAAAATTATGTGCGTGTTTATTTGCTTGCGTACATAGGTCTTTCGTACAGAGCAAAAATCTATGAAGGTATATTTAAAAATCTTGCGTCATTTGTTATTCTATATTATGGAGATGTTGCTTTAATATGAGATTAAATTAAAAGCATTTTTATTTTTTTCTTTTTTTGCAGGATTCAAAAATCAACACTATGACTACCGATGATACCGAAGATTCAGATATACAGAGCGGTGGTTTTCTATATCCAATGAAAGATTCTCTCAGATTATTAGATGCACATCTGATATTTGAGCCACTTTTGTCATCTTTATCAGTCATGCCGCAACAGATGTTATCAGTTATTGGATCAGGAAATGTAAATAACATGTCTTCCTTAGATTCGTTAGGCTCTAATTTGTCTCTTGTAGGCAGTATGGATACTATGCGCATTGATATAGTCGTCAGCGAATTTGGAAAGATTACAGACAAAAAGAAAAGTAAGCTTGTTGCAAAATTATTGTAGTTATAGAAGTATCTTAAGAAAGGTATCTTTAAATAATATATATATATATATATATATATATATATATATATATATATATATGTGTGTGTGTGTGTGTGTGTATATTTTTTTAAATTTTTTATAGATAACAAATATCAGCCAAAAAAAGGAAGTAATTCGAAATTTTATCTCGACATACCACCAGAGACGCCAGCGTTTTTATGTGAAAGAATTGGCGTAGACATTGATGTGAAAAAAATGGCCGATATGACGGTAGACGATATGATACAGAAGCAAAATGTTTTATACATATCAAGAGGTCAATTGAAAAAGCATACTAGCACAGTGGTTAATATTAGTCTAAATATTCGATATATAAGTCAACAAGTGAATATGCCTCTTCTCCGATTATTACATCAAATAAGTAACATGTATCAGAACGTTAAGGAAACGCAGATGGAATTGAAAGAACAACAGCCAGAGGGGAAACGAAGCACTAATGTAATCGTCAATGATGCTACCACGAAAAACGGCTCGTCGTCAAGTAAACATATTTTTATTAATCATATGAATAAAGTAATACATATGCGTGTGATAAAAAATGTAATATTTTCTTTCCAGCATCAGATCTGCAAGAACAGTTTCTCGTTGGTGGCAAAAAGATGGAAGCGCCACTGCTACGTAGTAGCTTCGTTGAACCTAACCAACCGAAAATATTATCAGGCACGACTGTGCAACGATCACGACCGCAGAGTTTCGCGCAAAAATTACGAAGCACCGGTAAAAGCGTGAAGGGATACATCAATTTGAGCGAGGGCGTTATTACGCCCAGTTTTGGAGCAAGTCCTAGTGGATCGAATTTAGATAAATGTACGGATGTGACGTGCAAAGATAGCGCGCACTTGACGCCACGATGTTGGAAAACTATATATTACCTTCTCGATTTATACGCGACTCGTCCGGAGACTAAGACGATTACCCATCGATTTTCGATACCAGCGGAAGCGGCGGAACATTATAAGAGTGGCAGAAAATATGAGATATTGAACGATACTAAGGATATTGATATTGAAAAAGGATTGAATGCGGAGAATAGCTCAACACCCGTTCCTCCATCAAGAGAATTGAGTGAGTGTGTTTTGAATTTTTTTTCAGATATCAGATAAAGTATTTAGTCTGGAAACATATAGTCTGGAAAACGTTGAATTCTTAAGGATTTCTTCCGTACCTACAAGAGAATTAAAGAATTATTGTAGAATTTTATTGGGAGTCAGAGAGAATTTTTAAAAAAATTTATTTGTAGATACTCTTTATCTTTTTATTATTGATACGATGAATGTCATTATTCTAGATATTGTAACGGGTGAAAGAACGAGATTAATTATTTTTGGCGTCGCACGAATCCATAGAACCAGATTATTAGCCACTTTAAGCGGTCTAAAGCTTGAAGCGGAGATCACTAGTCTACACGCTAGTCTGACTTGCCGCAAAAAATCGCGACCCGCAAGTCTAGAATGCAGTATGACCGGACAAATTGGAAGAACTATGATTGTTTTACTGGAGGGCGTTGCTCCCAGTCAGCAGACAGTCGTAAAAGTCACTGTTGGAAAATCTCAGGCTTTATACTCTAGCATCACGAGGCGACAAAAGGACAAGAATAGCGGTTTACTGACCGTCGGAGCTGTCAATATCGATATACCGCAGCATCCCGTAGCCTTGCACGGAATGATGACAAGAGGTAGCAAGCAATTATCGTCGACGCTACAGGTAGATATCTAGCAATCTTATCTAGCTCGTTCTTTGAAGAAATATATGTAAAAAAAGAATCTTTATCTCTCTATAGGAATTAAGAGTTACTCGAACATCGTCGAGAATGTCACGGGGACAGCAACAGGATGACGTGGACGGTGCTCCAGGTAGTCCGCATCATTATGCGCCGGCCCCATCGATGGATGCGGAAAAAGAAAAACCGCATACTGTGTCCGGTCTTTTAGAACCTATTGTTATGCAATTCCACATAATACTTCAAAGTCTGAGTATAACCGCGGCACTATTACCATCTCTCCAAGCACAGTACAAGATGGATCAAGTAAATAGTTCCGGTATAACAGGTGGCAAGGCTAAGTTTACCATAGACTTGCCCCATCATAATTTGAGTTTCACGACGAAGCTGCAAGTAACGGAGGCGAATCTACCATCCGAAGCTAGTATCGAATTACCTAAAGTGCATGTTTCGGCCGAATACGTTCAAGACGGAAGCGGTAACTTGAACGATAGTAAATTGGCAGGTAAGTAACGCGTGAATAAATCATGTCTTTTTTTTTAAATTTTAATAATATTTTTTAAAATAAAATTTCCCGATATTTCACAGACGGTGTTGTGTTGAGGCAAGGTAGCTACTTAAGTGCAACTGCAGATATTGGAGTATTTGAGCATTCCTTAACGACGGATCTCTTAAATCATTTAGTATTTGTACAAAAAGTATTTATGAAAGAAGTAAACGAGGTAGTGCAGAAAGTCTATGGGGGTGAAAAACCAGTGCCATTGTGGTTCGAAGATGACGAATCGACTAATTCTACTTTAAAACGAATCTTATTCTCGCTGATTATACGTATCAAGGTAAGGAGAATCTTATGTAGGTTTTTTACATTTATTTTATTGATAATTAAAATCATGAAGCTATTCATAATTTATTAATTTATAACAATCTCTTTGATTAAGTAAATACATATATACAAAAAATATATATATATAGAAAAAATATATAGAAGATAAATATAGAAAACACATATAGAGATAATGTTATTCTTTTACAGAGGATTCAATTGACTGCAACAACTCCGACAAACTCAGCGGTGCGACTAGAAACCGGCGCGGTCGAATTTCAATTATCCAATAGAGTGCAAAATGTTTCTGGAGCTACGCAACCTAATCCCTACATGAAATTATTCGGCAAAGCCCAAGTTGATATTAACTTGAGTCTGGGACAATTGTTGAAAAACGTCTTGTTCGAAGAAGTGGAGCCCGAATTCCAGCAGTTTGCTTTCTTCAATACTAGAATAGGATTGCGAAATGCATTTCAAGAAGAGATGGCGCAAGGTGAGGATAAAGAAGTGGTTTTAATTACTCTTAAACGGCCGCTGATTTACATACAACCGATGGCCATCGATAAAGCTATACTCGTTTGGTTAAATTACAAAAATGCATACGAGTATTGGAACGAAAAGAGATCCAATTTAAATAAAGAGGTATTAACCGCCACCCAGCAAGTGTTTGAGAAGGTTCCGTTCGGACAGCTAACCAGTCAGCTCAGCGCGCCTCATCTCGGAACATTATTTTTGCAATTAACAGTCGATGATATGGGTATTTGTGTACCACTTAATCCCTTACCGCCAAATAATTGGAGATTAAACAGAGGTCTTTATGACGGAGAATCACGAGGCGCTGTTGTAGTGACGCTTGAAAATACAAGCATATCCGCATGTAGCAGCGGTAGCCTAGTTAGTAAAGGAAGGTATGTGTTCATAAATATATATATTTCTCTCTCTCTTTCTCTAGTTTGATTTTTAAAATATAGATTTACATATATAAAATTGTAATAATGTACGTTTTTTTCCATTTTAAATTATTTTTTTGTTATTTGTAGATTTGTAGGATTATGTTTGAGATTTGCAGAAGATTTTGAAACTTCTTTGGATGATTGGAAGCCAGATATGACTGATAGCAATATAATGAATTTATGTGTTGTATCAGAAGGTACTTACGAAGTATGTAGTAGAACTATCGCGCAGAAACAAGACAAGTCTGGTATGTAAGACTCCGCATTTTTTTGTAAAATTAATATTTTAAATAAAATTAGATTTAAAAGTATATATATTAATATATATTATATATATATTAATTTGTAAATAATATTAATTTCTCCTAGATAATGCCAAGTGGTTTTTAAATGTTCAATGGCAAATGGAAGGAGTTGATATTCATCTTGATGTTAGTGTGGGACAACAGCTCTCGGCTCTTGGACATACATTAACGATGTTAACTGGTTCTGAAGAGGAAGATGATCTTCACGTTCCTCCGGATTATGATAGCGACGATGGTGATCAACCGGAAAATAGCACTAGCCAGGTTAAAAAAAAAGTATGGTTTAATTAATTTTATTTTTCGTCATTTTATTTTACATGCCCAACTTTTGTATCATATATACATATATTTAAAAGTAAGTAACATATAGTGAAGGAAATGTAGAACGTAATCCTATAAATTTATTTTGTTTTTTATGATGTTAAATCTTGATTTCAATGTTTATTTCAAATTCCATGTACTTATTGTTAAAGTTTTATTTATTAAATTTATAAGATGCGTCTATAAAGTAACTGGATTGACTTCTTTTGTTTGTAGTGCCAACTATTAACGAGTAGTATTGTTTTAAAAAATCTTTAAGTCTTCAATTAAAAATTTCAATGCAAGGAACTAGAATAGCATTATTATTTGATTTTATAGAATTTTATTTTACAGTTACTTTATAGCCATATCCTGTATTTATATCCTATATTTATATCTTTACTCTAAGGTGGTGTAAAACTGAAATATCTTTAATTTAAATTTAGTGAGATTTTTTGAGTTATTTTTATAGATTGACATTGACATAAAATAATTATAATTATAATAATGAAAAATTGGTATAAATATTAATATAATAGTATATAAAATAAAATAATTATTCTTTAATTATATTTATTTAAAATAAATAATTATTTTTAAATAATACATGAAAAATATGCTTCTTTTTATGTTTTACTTGCATATTTATAAAAAAATAAATCTTAAATTTACAATATCTTTAATTCTTATTATTTAAAAATTTCAGAATTACACCACAACATGATCTTACTTAGAACTAAAATTGTTTGTAATTATAGGAAAGCATATTAATGAAAAAATCGAAAAATTGGACGGATAGTCTACCAGCATTCATTTTCGATCCTACACTTGATGCAAAGAAGAGATCGCAATTGATAGAGAAGGAAATGAACGAACAAGCTAAGATTATAAATGATTTGCGATCATTGGGCGCTTCGCATGGAACAATCGAGCAAGAAATGAAACGTCTACACGAATTAGAAGCAATGGTATTTAAAGACTTTAGAAGGTATGGTATAAAATTATTTTTTTCTTCTGTCTTTTTTAACTTTTTTTAACTTTTAAAATATATTTTCCAGAGATATGATTCAAAAGTTAAGAAGGCAATCGGTTAAAGCTTCCGGTATTAAGGGTAAATTAGGTCTCAGTAGTAAAGCGAATGCGTATCGTTCGAGATCATTTATTGTACCTTCACCTACGCCAGAACATCATTTAGAAAGTCCGGAAGATATTAATACGGAAATTAATTCAGCAAATTCGGCTAGTTATGAAAGTAGCCCTAGAAGCGGTCCCAGTCGGTATGCATTTTACATGTCTAATTAAATATCATTCCTTAAAGTTAATTAAATATCATTCCTTAAAGTTCTTCCTAATTGAATTTAAAAAATATATATATATATTTTAAATTAAGTTTTTAATTTGAGTAAATTTTTACAAATTATAAGTTTCCATTTAATTAATTATTATTACAGATCAGCTTCCCTGCGTGTAAAAGGACTTGGTGGACCACGAGTTACTTTTAGTGATACACATACAATGGGAAGGTATGTTCGAAATCACATTAAGCAATAAAAAAAGAAAAAAAACTGCATATAATATAAATATCTACTTTTATTAGACAATCATCCTTACCAAGTGCTAGTTCTGACTTGAGTTTACCAGAAGGAGAGTTGGAATGGCCAGAGACTATTGAGATAGAAGGAGAACGAGTTGAATTGAGAAAAAAGAATAGAGATACTAGTTGTACATCTAGTTATGATAGTATGGAGGGGAAGTATGTATTTTCAATCATTGCAAAATATATGTATATGAAATATATTAGGTTTATACCTAGGCTTATACTTTATTCCCTTTCAGTGCACCGTTACTCGATTCATTTGGGAAAGAGCAAGCTTCATCGACATCATCCCCATACATTACTTCTCAAAAAACTCAAGAACCAAATATAGACTTTGAACTCGATGTCAAAGTTTTAATTAATAGTGGGAAATGTGTATTGCATACAAAAGATCCAGCAAGAGAAGATGAAATTAAATTGTAAATATTTATAACATCGTATTTTTAACTTGATTTCTTAAAATATAATTTTTATGTAGTCTAAATTCTCTTTCTTTTTTACAGTTTGAGTAGAATGAAAAAAGAAAGATCATGTTCCGGTGGTATGTTTGAATTTCAATCTGGCAGTCCCAATAGCAGTAGAAAACACTTGAATAGTAAAGAGAAACCGTCGACAACTAGTACATCTCGATTGAGATATTTGCAGCATACAAATGTGCCTTTAGTAGATTTAACAATTTTTCATATTCCCGGTTTAGATGTTAAGGTAAAAGATTTTAAGACTTTATTTATATCAGCAAAATATATTATCGACTTTTCAAAGCAGATGTAAAGAAAACATACATATATATTTTTTTGCAGGTTCATTACGAATCGAAAACTCTTCCAGAAGAATCATTATCTCCTCGCGTATCTGCTGAAAATAGTTTGTTAAATCCAATCACGATGACAATGTTCAGAAAATCTAGTACTAAAAAAGCCAGTCTGTTTGCTTGGATGACTCTTCAAAGCATTCCAGAGGAAACTATCATTAGTCCTCATATTCTTGAATTTTTAGAGCAAACTCTAGAACCAATTCCGAGCAAGAATAATTTTCAGAGCAACGCGCAAACGAGTGCTACCGTTCTATTGGAAAATACAGAAAACACATCATGGGCTGCCACAGCTGCGAATAGCAATTATGTTTATGCCAGTTTCCCCGTTGACGTTATAGTGTATTTTCATATGCAGCCATCTACGTTTAGGTAAAATAAAAAAACGCTATTTATTAAGGTTTAAAAAAGAAATTCAACATTTGTTAATGAATAATAATTTTCTTTGCTTTAATTTTTGTAGATTCTCGTGTTTACCAGTTTCACGAGTAGAATGTATGCTGCAATTACCATCCCTCGACATTGTGTTCTCGTCGAAACGGGCCGAGGAAGAATTGATAGAATTTCGGGAATTTAAATCTCAAACAACGGGAAAGGAAACGGGCTCAGCTATTGGTGGATTATCCGTCACCGGTTGTTTAGCGGATTTCTCGGTTTATATTTTTCATCCCTACGGTGGTGGGAAGAAGACAGGACTAAAGGAAGCACAATGGTCACCCTTGTCGGACAGCGAGAGGAAAGATTCATTGAGCATCAATGTCGAATTTGTAAAATTTCATTTATCGAGAAGCAGGAAATTAAACTTTCAAAGCGAACAACTCAAGAAACTTTCGGATACTAGCCGTGCTGTCATACGATTCTCAAGTATGTATATAAATGTGTCAAAATATCAAGCATACGTATACCAGTTTATCTAGTTAAACTCTTGCTCAACAAATTTTCCAAACATTAATCTTTTTCAGCAATTATCGACATTGGATCTGCCTCGTTTAAATACGATATGCGTCGATTAACAGAAATTCTAGCTTTTCCAAAAGCATGGTACAGACGTAGCATAGTAAGACGCTTGTTTCTGGGAGATTTAAGTTCAGGTACTGCATACTCAGAAGGGGATGGGAGTCCTTCGTTAAATCAAGAAGAGGCAGTGATGGGCAGCTCATTGTTGAAGCATTACGATAGACATACATGCGATTCGTTATCAAAGAGTGCACCTGAAAGAAGTCCTGTATTAAATAGAGAAAAATTGAAGTTAAGTTTGGAGAACGATATGCCAAGACCCGCGCGATTAAAAGGTATCTACTAGTACATTTACTAGTACATTTTTATTAAAAAGTTAATGAGATGCTTTCAGTTTGTACAAATAAATAATTAAATCTTTATAATAGATATTGGAAGAGCATGGAGTTTTACCACGGACAAGCAAATATCGTCGGAGATTAAATTGAGAGAATCCGCATGGGAAACATTAGTGTTATTCGCGGTGAACTTTACGCGTTTAAATGTGCATATGAATATGGGTAACGTGATGGGCAATGTTAGTTGGATGACAAAAGATTTCAGATCGGATGGTAGATTGTCTATTGGCAGCACAGGACATAAAAATCTATACATAGGCATTGGTTTAGGAGGATCAAGTCTCGATGCGAAAGGTGGTATAGTCGGTGGGACAATCGAATTGAGTAGAATCGATACTTACAGTGAGTTTTTCTCTAATAAAATTCAGCTATTTAATGATATTAATCAGCTATTTAATATATAAATCAGGATTGTGTTATAGATTTTAAAACTATGTTTACATGTGAATTATTTATGCTTTGTCCATATGATTACATGAACTTTTTTCATGTAAAATGTAACTATTATAAATTAAATGTCACGGAATGAAAAAAAAATAATTATATTATAAAATAGTGTTAATATAATATTAACGTATATAATATATAATATATAATATTTACATAACAAAATACAATATTTATTTATTTTATTAGTATGATCCAATTCATGGATTATTTTTATTGATTTTTATAAAATATTAAAATTGTGCCTTTATGTTTCAACTACATAAGCAAAACATCTTTAATAAGCCATATTTTGTAGATTATTCATTGGTGACATATATTTGACATGTTAAATATATAGTTCATATTGTTTATGCTACATAGACATAGATTATTATATTTTATGAATAAATGTTCAAGTCTATATTGATAAATTAGTATAAAATTTAATCGATTAATTTTTTCAAATCTTATAGTACATATTCGAGAAGAACCTGGAATAGAACCTGATCATACAGTTGGATTGAAATTATTTGCATTAGAATTACGATTAGATTATATGGGAACAAGTGTGTTAATGTCCCGAGTGTCTTCGTTGGACGTTACTCTTAGAGATGAGTGGAAAATTAATCGTAGCAATAACGGTGATGCTTTTATGCCAACACGAAGGTATATATATATTAATTAATTTTAATCAAATTGTCCTTACAAATATTGTCATGTTGTTATATGACAATATGTTAACATGAAAAAAAAAGAAACACATATTAATATGTACAGGCCTGCCATCATTTTTATGCACGGTGATCTGGGTTGGGATCAATTACAAATCATGATCAGTAAATCAACAACGGCCGACTTGCTGAAAATGTTTTACAAACTGGACGAATTCTTTAGTCAACAATTTAAAAGTAGCAAACGCGTATTTAGCTCGTTGCAACCGAAACATCAAAGGATAAATAACAGCAGTTTTAAAAAGAGGCAACAAAAGAAGAGATCCGATGGTAAATACAAATACTACTAATCGTCATTCGCTTCATGATAAAGCTATACAATATTCATGATAAAGCTAATTAAAATTATTATAGGAGGTCCATGGAACCTAAACCAGACTGCAATATCGGATGCTAGACATCATAGACACTGGCAAAGAGTATTAGTTCAAGTAGCTGGTCTTCAATTAGGAAGCTTAAGATTTTCTTTGCCGTCAACCGGTACTGTCCTCGGTGGCACAATGGAACTTCATGGATCTAATATTAGCTTAGCATGTTTCCATGGTATTAATTTCAAAAGCAAGAGCTGGGCTTTATTTTCATTGAAGGAACCTTGTATAAGTTTCGCTACGGAAGCCCAGGAAATACCAAGTGTCGAAAGTAAGTGGATATTAAACATTGCATGCGCGTATTTTTACAATGTACTAATTTATTAAATTTTTATTTTTCCTTCTTTGTAGCGCCCAATACATACGATGTTCATGTCGTACAAACGTTGACCATCAGTCTAGGTCACCAACAGGAACAACACGCGAGACATCATTCCATGGCAACTGTCTGTAGATTAAGTCGAAGTGTTTTATTTCCACCGCAATTTAAATCTTTACAAGAATGGTTTCATTATGCATTTGCTAGTAGCGAGATCGATGGTACATAGCTGTATACAAGTTTATTTTATTTTTCTATCTAACATGATATACTCATTTCTGTCTGTTTCTTTTTATTATATAGCGGTAGATAGATTTCCGTGCGTAGAAAGAGATAAAATGGAAAATATGTCGGTGGACGGTAATAATACGTCACGTGGAAGAAGTACATCCGCAACATCCGGCAAGCTCCAGGAACATTCGCACACGCGAGAGGTGATATTTGCTTTGCCTTCGTTGCAGTTGCATCTGAAAACTGAACATTTACAAACTGCCAGAACGCCAGACGTTATAGGTACGTAAATCAATTTTTCAAAAAATTGCTGTGTAATTATTTAAATCTGCATCTGTGTAATTTCTCTGTCATTTGTCCTTATGTGTAACCGATTGGTGTACAACAATTTTCTATTAAATATGAAAATAAGAGATAAGCACACACAACGATATGTGATAGATGTGTTAATTACTTACAATAATTTCACTTGGAAATGTAAATTAAATTATGTACATATTAATGAAAGTTGATATTATGAGTCAAGTCTCTTTTTGTTGAATTGTTTAATACAAATCGTAGAATAATACATTCCTTCAATGCGCGAATTATTCTGCATATATTTTTAGGACTTCCTAAGCATATTTTATACAGTAAGTACAGAGAATGTAAAGTTTGTTACATTTGAAATGTTAAGGAGTGTTAGAGAAACTTGTTTGCTATGCTTTTCATATTATGTAGATGTTTAAATGATATATTTATCATTTAAACATCTACATAATTTAAATCATAATTATTTCCTATATATCATACATTATTTCAAAAATATAAATGAAAAATAGTGAATTGAAATTTATAGTTCATTTCAAATAGCTTAAGCTGTACTTTTTGTGTTAATTACAGTTTTTGTACTAATTACAGTTGTTGCACGAAATATAGTATACACATAAGTAGAAAATAGAGAAAAAATATACGCAATGTTGAAAATATCGATTTTAGCTTTTAGATTTTCCCAAAATTTATATATTAATGCGTTTTGACTGTCACTGTGTTTATATTCTTTTATTCGGTTCTTTTATCTTGAATCCATTTCTAATGATTTAAATCGTTTAATGTCGAGAAAAATCTTTAAATTAATCAATATTCGTGAAATGGTCATATCTCAAATGTAGAAACATGATAGAAAAAAACTACTTGTTATTAAAGTTAAAATTTCATTCTATTTTCAAGTTAAAATTTTTCTATTTCATTCTGCTTCATTTTGACATCGAAATAATCACCTCTTTAATTAAATATCTTGAAGATTGGCTTATTATTCCCTATGTTTGTGCTAATTGATTTCAGCGAATGAGAAATGCAATCATTTATTACGAAAATATAATGTTTTCTTTTAGAAATCCTTTTCCACGATACAATCTGATATCTTTAAAGTGCATGATCAAATAAAATAAAATAATCTCTGAAAGAAATTGTTTCGGAGAAATTTCTATTCTACATGTGATGACATTTCACAAACATTAATCAATTAATTAGTCCAAAGACTTTCTCCGAGATTTAAATCACTAGAAATGAATTCAACAATAAAAGAAAAATTTAAATATATAAAAGAAATATAGATCTTAAAGGCAAAAATTGGAAATTTTTTAATATTATCTTTTATAATTATTTGATATAAGCAGCATATGATTAGCAATATAAGTTTAAGTAAGCTTAAATAAGCATGAGAAATTAATTGTATTACTTAGCTGTATTCGTAAAAGAGTATATGCTCTAGAATATAACTCTAGTAATCTCTAATAATATAAAAAAATGTTCAGTTTTAATAATTATCGTTAAAAAAAATGATGATTTCTTGTTATCGTGTTTTATTATTTCGATTTGCAGGTGAGAAGCCATTAGTCGAGTGCAGTTTTATAACAGAGTTTGAAGATCATATATTTGTTACCGTCGACGCTGAAGCCTTTTTCTTTTTACATGATCTCATTACATCGTATGTGAAAGAAAAGGAGAGAGTGGTAAGAGCTTCTAGAAAAATTAAAAAATTTAGACTACATTTCAAATAGCATTAAATTTTATTTATGAGAAAAAGAAAAGAAATTTATATTCCTATAAATTCATTCTTATAAAATTTCTTTTATTACAGCACACCATGCAAAACATGGGTGCGAGAGCACATAGTCCTGATCAGCAAGAAAGAAAAAATACAAACGCGAGTACCACGGCTAATGTATCCGGTGTATCTAGCATTACTTCAGAAGATGAGAGGAAACGGAAACAATTTGATCCGGCTGAAATGTTTATAAAAGATTGGCGATCGTATAGGTGTAAAACGTGGCACTTAGAACCAACAGTAAGGTGAGTTATTATTATCATTTTTAAATTAAGATTCCTCTTTTTGCAGCTAATGAAAATAACGTTTGTCGTGTATTTTTGTCAAGGCTACTCTCGTGGGCAGGTAAAAGTATAGAACCTTATGGCATTGATTACATCCTCCAAAAATTGGGATTTTCTCATGCACGTACGACGATTCCAAAATGGATACAACGAGGCTTTATGGATCCTTTAGACAAATTGCTTGCCGTTCTTATGTTAAGAATGGTATTAGCCGTTCGTGAAGAACCATCGGACGAACAAAAAGAACATAAAAGAGAAAAATAATACCAAATTGATTTTTTTTTCCTATTACATACATTATATACATTTTCATATTATTATATACATTTTGCTTTTGCAAAAGCATCAAATGTGATCTCTCCCTTCTGTGTATTCGAATTATATTAACAATGGTGCAATGATAGGCATAAGAACGACATAATAATAATCAATGTTACTTCAAATGCGATAAAGAAGTCTGTGCATAAAGTAACGTCAAGCCTATGTATAAATCTTTTTTTATCGTTTATTTAAAGTAGTTTATAGATTTTCAAATAAACGGTATTATAATGGTATAATTGGAATAAATAGAACCATAGTGGTTGATAATAATCGTTCTTCGTGAAGAACAATGTGAAATACTTATATTTATAAAACTGACGTTCAGACATATATGCGATAAGATTCAATATAGAGAATTGTAAATGTAATTAGAATAAAACGTAAAATGATGTGTATTTAAGCAATCATATATTGCTAAAATATATATAGCACATATAATTTTTGTTAATAGATATATTTTTTTATCTTAATTGAAAAATGATATTATTTTAGTAGTATATCTTTATATAACTATATTTTGTTATATATACACAGAGAGTATTTCTGAACTTTCTATGATGAAATAATGCATAACCACTCACATTTTGGTCTGTCTAAAATACTATTTACTCTTTTGTTTTATGAATTATAAGTTGTAGTAATATAATTACATATATATATATAATGTAGTAATACAAGACATATTTTAAAAACAATGTTTTGTATCAATAAGTATGTGAAAGATACATATTCTTATTATCTTGAATAGAATAATGTATAAGTGGAATTATATAAGAAATGTTTATCACATGTGTTGTTCATTATAAGTATAAATTTATGAATTATATTTGATAATCTGAAATTTTATATATACATACATATGTTTCTTAAAACTTAGACTGTAAAATATTATCTGTGATTTTTCTATATTTATCATATATTGTGTACACATTATTTGCTACGATTTATTTGTTTATAGGCTTCACTTGAAAATTGTTTGATATGATTTATATATTTCCTTCTACGATCATTATCGACCATGAGAGAGTTCTAGAAAGAGCAACTCGTTAACTTAAATAATGTAAAAAATTTTATATTGATATATATGTAAATACGTAATGTAGAGAAGTAATTAAATCTATCCAGTAGTAAGCGAAGTAATTAAATTTATCCAGCACCATCGTATGAATATATTCTTAAGAATATATGTGAAAAAGATTTATGTAAAAAGATTTATTTTGTAAAAATTTCAATGAGATGATATGGCACGATCGTTCCAAGCGCAGAAAAGTGTATGCATTTTTTGTCTAATACACACGCACACACATAACATACATACATACATACACATAGTTCACAGAATATCCACATACCACCAAATATATCCAATAATTCACAAAAATATTTAAAAATATATGAACTTTTTGTTGTTTTATCACCAACATGTATTAAATATGTATTTGCTGTTGCTGGAATAAATGTGCATTTATATATATATATATATATATATATATATATATTTGAAATTATTTTTGAAGCTATCCTATGTATATTTTATTATATATATATATATATATATATATATATATATATATATATATATATATATAATTATGAGGTTCCTTCCAAATAAAATATTACAAATTAATATTTCAAGAACTACTAGATAAAAATATATGATTCAAGTAGCATTTTTCTTATTAGAAATCTTTTTAAATGTTACAATTGAATTTTCAAAATTACTTTAAGAAGGCGGCAACTTTAAATTTCAAATGTATTCTATGTAGAATGTGCAATCCGAATTTCCTTGTTCTAATAGTATAATTTTTAATTGTTATAATGTTTTAACAAATAATGAGTGGCAACTAAAATCTTTCGAATATTATTCAAGATTGTTATTAAATAAATATGTTTAATCGTGATATCAAAGATGCATTTACAAACAATAATAAAAGATATTTTTAAGTTAATTTTTAAATTTAAGTATTTATTTTACTTATATAGTTACATTTATTTCTGTACACAATTCACAATTGACTATATGATTATTTTTTAAACATATTTACATAATTGAACTCGTCAATTTTTTTGTTTATTATGTGCCAGAATTCACTTCTTCGTATAGGCTTAAAAGACAAAGTTTAATTAATATTGTCATCGACTTCTATTCTAATACGATTTAAAACATTGTACATTGATTTACATGTTATAATAATCGTGTAATTTAATGATATAATCTTTGTAATATATGAAATCATACTTATACACGATCTTTTCTTATATGCATAGTTTCGTATATCTATAATTAATATGGGAAGTTGGGCTATTTAACAACATTATTTGAAATATTTCCAATCAATACATCTTTACATTTTAAGTTTATAATGTAATGTAATATATTTCAAAAAGATTAATTTTATACAACAGTACCGATTCAGAAATATATAAATTATAGATTTATAAATAGAATAATTGACAAAAAAGAATACTATTAACTTATGAGTAATTACAATCAACACAAATATAGTTTCTTCATTTTTATATTATATAAAATCAATATTGTTTTTGGGAATTAAATTTTATAAAATCAAAGAGGTTTGAAAATGTTTTGTTAATAATTACATGTTATCTTGTAAATAATATTTGCTAATACCATTAGATATCTTTAATTTATTAAGATATTAGATATCTTTAATCTATTAAGATATTTGGCCATTATATCGGCAATTATACATATTTCAATTAAACAGTACATAATATATTGAAATTTAGACTTTAACAATAATGTGATAATCACTTTTCTATTATACATAATCTACATATATTATATACATATATATGGAAAAATTATTTATAATTACTAAATATAATTGAAATATATATACTATAAGAATACATGACACATAAAACTTGTTTTTTAATATATTTAACAATAAGATATTTATTTTCTAAATTGCGGATAACATTTGTTTCATTAAATATATTCATATAATACACTTATGAATGTTTTTTATAGATGTAACAAGGCGTATATCTCTGTATAAGTCTTGATTTTTTACATTTAAAGATCAACATTTTAGTTCTGTACATGACAGATCAATGCATAGAATTATACATTGTAGCAATACTATTTAGAACCGGAATTGAATTTCTATATCGCATTAATATGTAAAATTGCGCCCCAACTATTAAAAAGTAAGTTAATTAATAAAATCAAATAAACTATCAAATAAAATTTATATTATTATAATTATTATTATAGTTAAATTTATAAATATAATTCAGAAATATTTAATTGTGATACAAATTACTTGAGAATTTAATCATTGTTATATTATACATAATTTCATATATAATTATTTTCTTTATATGTATTTAATACTTGAAGAAAATATATATAAGGGAATGCAAAAATTATTGTGCACAGTTCTGAGTAATATTATAGATTATAGATTATGTAACATTCTCAATATTTTAATAATTTAAAAAAATAACGATTTCTTCCTGAGAAAGATTTGATGATTTTTTTCAATTATATATAATAAATTGCAATTATAAATACATAAAGTTAAAACAAAATCGAAAGTTTCTGGAAATATATTGTCTTTTTAATATGGGCGAGGAATTTGTACGCACTGTTACTTATTCTTGATATAATAAAAATGTCACCTTCACAAATAAATGGAAGTGTTCGGGAAAAGAAAAGTAAAATTAGACCTTCTAATTAGACCTTGTTATCAACCATATCTACATTGATCTTGTAATACACATATGGGAAATAATCGCTTTGGCCAAAACCTAGTCCTGGTATATCCAAATTCTGTTAAAAGTAAAATGTCTTTGTAAATATAAATTTGTTTCATAAAAATATTATATATTTAAAATAGATATATATTTATTTACAAGAAACTTTTAATAAATGTTTCAAAATTATATTTAATTATATTTAATTTTATTTAATTCCATAATATAGTATAATAATATACTTTGCATAACTTACATCTTGATTATGTTGCGCTGGTGTACCTGTAGCAGATGAATCTAAATGAGCATAAAGCTGATTTAAAACGTCACGTAATCTTCTCGCACATTTTTTATGCGGATGTAACAATATTGCTTGGAAATTTACAGGTAGGCCATATCTATAAATCATTTATGTTATAATGTTATAATACCACTCTATTAATAGGGTATAACTGCACACAAGGTGTAACTGAACAAACATACATAGAGCACATCTTCAAATATAAGACAACAATTTAAATCAAAAAGTCTTCAGCCATTTTTTGATCTTTCTTTTCATACAATATTAAAGTTAGCTAATCAATATCTATCTAAAGATAAATCATCCCGCGATAAAAAGGAATCCCCTTTGTATGATTTTGACATAACGTTGTCAAGATCATGACCCTGAGTGATTTTCAAAAGATTTTGACCATCGCTCGTTGTTTAATAAAAGTTATTAATAAACGTTAAAGTCATACGAAGAAGATCCTCTTTTATACAGGTTTACACTAATTTTAACATTTTATAAAAACGAAAAGAAAGGTCAGATAAAAAAATAGCTTTAAACTCTTCGATTTGAATTGTTATCTTGTATCTGATGGTATGTAAGTTTGTTTAATTACACCTTATATATTATCATTGTATTTTATATGAAATATTTAATGGTACCTAAGAACAGATTCAACAAATACACGTAAAGCTTTGACATGGATCCAAGCACAAAAACATTCACTAAAATTCACTTTCAACCAGCGAACAAGGGGTCCGAATTGTTTTTTCTTATCAGTAACCAACTTTGTAATTTCATTTTTTCCTATAATGTAAACAAAATAAATCTCATTTTCTTTACATAACATAGATATATTTAATTTTAATTTTTTAAATCGTGAAAGACATCACTCAAAGAAACGTTTCAACAAACCTGCTGCTAGTTCTTCTTCATTATATATAAAATCTCGTACAATAAATTTTTTCTCACGAGCATGTAATTTAAATTCGTCCATTACTTTTTTAAATAAAGTGATTGTAAATAACCCATATTCTGAGTCTTGAGTAATAAGTTGAGTACTACGCGGTACAATCATGTCTGTTAGTTTTTCGTAACAACTGTACCAATCCTGAAAGTTGGATCTAAAAATATAAGACATAAATATCAATTTTACATATTATTAAAATTTAATCCTTAACAGCTTTAATAACTAGTAATAGTTTTAATAATTTTAATAATATATTGCGAGTTTTGACTGTACATGTATTTACTCACCTTGGTACAATCACAAGCAAAGTAGTTAGATATTCGCTGTCCAAGATAAAATGTTCCTTTTTCACTAAATCTGCTAAATTGCGTGTTAGTAAACTTCCCCTATTGAGATATGTTAAATATATTTTTATTTAATAATTTAGTCGAGTAATATATTCTTCAAAATATGAAACATCAAACTTACGTCTGCTTTTTTTCAAGATTTTGTAAACTGCCTTTCAGATTATTGTACATTGTGGATTTAGTTTTCAGATCAGCATCAATTTGTCCCACTTGTTTACTGATAATGTCTGCGATGTTTCTCAAAGATTGTTTGATGGGATATTTAGCCATATCCCACTGGAATCGAGTTATATATGATGGCAGATCACCTAGTAAAATTTAAATATTAATCACACATTTCTGTTTCAAGTAAAAAATTATAATGTCACTTTGCAAGCAGAGCTTCAGAGTTAATTAAATGTGTGTATATTTTTTCTGTTGAACTTTTTATATACATATATTCTTTGGCATATATCAACATGTAGGCTTTATAAGTATTATAAATATTAATATTAAATTATTAATATTAAACAAATTCACAATAATTTCTTAAAAATTCTGGATATTATCAACATATACAAATGTTTATTCTTTTCGTGTTTTTAATGTAATAAAGAGAGAGAAAGAGAAAGAGAGAGAACCTAATTTCAAATGATGTTCAATGTATGATATACATAATGATAAGATAAAGAAAAATTTCCATACAATTTTTTTATTCTAATATGCCTATCGTGAATATCACAAGCAAAAAGCAAGACATACATAAAGTATATCATGCAATCAAAAATAAAGAGATAATTAAATAAATCTTATAAAAAATATTTGTTAAACATTTAAGTATTATAAACATTCAAGTTACTTGCATAAAATTCTGTGCATAATATTTTATGTACAAATATAAAAGAAATTTTTATAATTAATAAAATTTTCCCTTAATACATGTAGCAATCTCTGCAAAAATCTTTAAATTTATACATATTTATGTGAATATGTGAGCACATGTTTTATTAATATTTTGAAGCCCGTCTATTATCTTATTGTCTTTCTATTGTACTACTTCTCATTATGCATCATAATTTTAATATAATAATTCAAATTTATGCGTTAATGTAACAATAGATAAATATAATTTAACAGAAGTAGATCTTCCTATACATGCATATGAATATAATGAATATACATGTAGATCTGTACGTGTGCGCATGTATATTAAAATCCATAAAAAACATTATTAATTACGTTTTTTATTTTATTTTTATTTCCAATTATCTGTACTATTTTTCTTACATATTTGTAAGAAGTACCTACATTCCATACATGTTCAATAAAACAATTTCTAGCACAAAATACATGTATATATTTGCAGTTAAAGAAAATTCTTATATGCATTGAAAAGAAAAGAGAGAACTTATTAAATATATAATACATAAATCATAAAATTTTTCAAGATTTTTAATACTTCATTGATATATTGAATTATGATTATAAAAGTTAAAAATTCTAAATTTTTTTTTTAGTATACATCTCCAAATAAATTATTTTTTTATATGCCATCGCTCGTGTTCAATATTACAAATTGGTAAGTTATTGTAAAGATATACACTTAGTATATTAATTAAGATTATTATGAGATCTTTCCGCTAAAAATATAAGAAATATATACAAATTATTTATTAATGCAAATAACTAATCCAAATACTAATACAAAATTTTTTTTTCGGTATACTCAATTTATATTATAAAACGCGAGTCTGATATACAAAAAATAATTCATTTCAACATATTTTGTAAAAAAAAAATTTAGAAGTTCTCATTTTTTTATTTCTAATTCTATTGATTCTATTAATTCTTCAGTTATAATTCAATATAACTGCAATAAGAAAAAAGAAGTTTTAAGACTTTATATTTATAACGTGCACATTAGTACATTAAATTATTTATTTTCTTCTTCACATTATTCATATATATTATAAATTTAATTAATTTAGCAATTATATAATTACAAATGAGTTTGCTAAATTTTTATGATATTCATTCAATTTATAATATACGGATAATTATGAATAATTTCAATTAGTAAAGATAATAAATGCAAGTAATAAACTTATATATTATCATTTATAATATATATTATAATTTTATTATTTACATATTTATGTTATATCTTTATAACGTAACGAAATGTAACGTAACGTATCTTTATAACAAAATATATATTAAATATATATTACAACTTTATAATATAATAGTAAATATCTATATTAACTTACACATCACTTGCTTTTTCACATATATTGTAGAGGGTATATTCTCTTAATACACATTTTGAAATATGTAGCGTTTTATTTTTATTCCTTAAATATATAATTTTGAAATACTATAAAAATATATATATATATATATATATATATATATATATAAAATTTTTAGAAAAAAGGATTTAATTCCATTGATTTTAATCTTGACATGTATTTTCAAGATTATAATTCTCAATAATTTTCAAAAAATTTTCATCATATTAAGCATTAATCTCATTAAGCTATTGGTTATTAACTCTCACACTACTGACGATACCGACAATCGCGCAACTATGCCTAGATCATTATGGATCTATACTGTTTTCACTTATGTAAGGATTTAAAAATAAGATTTTTATCATCAGAACGACTAATTTTTTTATTTACCAAATTAGCAATCTCATTTTTAGTCGATATTATACAGAATATTGGGAGAAGTCGATTTATATAAAAAAAGGATAGATTAGAAAGAAGAATTTTAAAAAAACTGGATTAACTTTTAAGTGATCTTGGCACTTACACCTAGATCAAATTAATATCCTTTTTCTTCTTGAAATCAAACAACTTTTTCAATAACAATTTTTTAAATGAATCTAAAAACAAAAGTCAGACTATCGCAATAAACATTTTGTGTATACATTTTGTAAATAATTGACATTTAAAGGCACAGTAATATAAATATGTTTAATACGAAGTATGGCTCTTAAACAACTGAATTATGTGCGTAAATAACTATAATATAAGAAAGAACTAAAACAGAATAGGAGAAAGAAGATTGTTGATTTCGAACCTTTTAACAATCGAGTCCATTTTTGGCCTGTCAATTAATTCATTTGATTGTTAATTGATGTACTTACTGTGTTGCCAAAATGAGCACACACTTTTCTGTAAGCAGTTTTTAGCGAAAAACCACATATCAGTGCTGGATCACCTGTTCTATTTCGAGTTGGTATCCTATAATTTTTTCTTTAAAATCAAAAATATATTAAAGGAGACTTACTTAAAGTCTCCTTTAAAAAGAACCATCAAAGAAATGATTAAAGCAAAAACAATAGAATTGTTAAAAGACCTAACAAGAATGGATTTTTAATTGTTTTTAACAGAAGAATGCAGCGATGGACAAATAAAGGGGAATATATTGAAGAGGATAAAAATTAAAAAATGTAAAATATTTTAATAAAGTTCTATTTATCAATCAAGCACTAATCTTTGATTATTTAATAGTCACACATCGTATGACAGAGAACTATAAATATATTCTTCCTACTTCTTTTATCTATCTATATTTAGCTATTAGTTTTCCCAAACATATTTTTTATTCTATAAATCATAACAAACACTTCAAAGATGTCGTTTTTTCTTTTAATCATCTTTTTCAAATTTTCAATCGTTCACCTCCTCAAAATACAAGATCCGCTCACTGAAGATAATGAAGTGGACAAAGTTTCAAAGCTATATCTACAAGAAAGAGAAATGATAGACTCCAAAAGTCGACAATGACAGGATGAACATCTGGATTTAATAAATAATTTGGTCTTGATTTTGATCCGCATCATTATCATCTCATCGTTATAATTATCTTCAAATGATTTACAATTAAATCGACCCTGACCTTTTTAGTAGTTCACAAACAGTGTGGCTGTTGCTCAAGCTTTCCTTCATTGTTATAATTCGATAAGAAAGAAGAAAGGATTCGCAGAAGTAGAATTGGAATATGGTATCGAGGATTTAGAAGCAATGCACCAATAATGATAGAAACATAAATGTATGGACAAGAAATAATTATTAGATTGAATTTTGAGATTACAGATGTCCTGAATATCATACGATAATTTTTTTGTCGAGCATGGAAAAATAATCTTGGTAATGTTTATGGGAGTTATGATAATGATAATGTGATGATAACAATGCTGCTATTGCTCATAATGACAATCATGATAATAATGACGTTGGTGATGATGCTGACCTAAACAGATGGCCGGTTCTGGTTCGGACTTCTCCAATTGCGTCCACTGTTTTTGAAACTCCTTTGTAGTCGTGTGTGATGGTGTAACAGGGGAATTAGACCCCTGGGTGTATGGACCCCCATCGGGGCTTGAGCTCTCCCAATCCATTGATGTTTGACCTAGCCATTACAGCCCAGTCCCAATCTCATGCAATTTTTCTTATTGTTTTGCTCAACTATTATTGTTTTTTATGCAAATGCCTAACGATAATGCTGACGAAACTAAATAAGAATAATTTAAAAGAATACAAAGTATTTAGCACAAATTATCTGGATAAAATCTATAAACATATAGATTTTAACTTAAAGTCTGATTTGGAAATATCAAATGTACAAATTCAGTTTAATGCATTTTTGCAAATAATGCATAATGCATAATTGATTAAATGGTGATAGATATATCAATCAATTGCAAAATATAAACTAATACAAAAGTGATTTAATTAAAAAAAAGTGAATGATTAATCAATTCAGTAATATTCAGTAATATTATAAAATCATTTTAAATATGTAATTTACAGAAATTTATTATAGTCTATGTATAAAATATAAATTTTATTTTATTTGCGTGTATGTGTATACAACATATACACACATACAAATATATACATATATACAAGCATTTTCTGCCCCTCTATTTTATTCTAAATGCCCTAACGAAATTTTTGGAAAACAATATGAAGGAAAAATAAAAAATTATAAGATTTTAAAAAGGGAATTTAGCTTATATTAGAAAAATGAGATTATCATATTTGAGTTATGGCCATAAATTGCATCTTTCAAATAAAAATCCTGTTTTTATAATCTTACTATCGTGAAAACTTTGTTCTAAAAACATATATATTATATTCTTGATTATACTATGTATTAAAAAGGATATCGTCAGCATCAGAGTTATCCAAAGAAAGAAGTAGATATGGTGCAATTTATATTTGAGCGTTTATTTGTATATGTGCGCGCGCACGCAATTTGTAGTACTCACTGACTTTTACATACATATTATACTAAACTGTTAACACGGCCATAT